TAATTTAGCTGAAGTGATGTGAAGTATCCCAGACCAGTCCAAAAATATCTATAATGTTTTATAGAGGTGGAGAAAGAAAAAAAAAAAACAGCAGGTGTCTTTACCCAAAATATTCTTTATTTACCAAGATAGGCATGAGGCCTTAATCTAATTTCTCCTAGTTCCACAGACACTTGCTTGGAGAAACCTCTATCCACATGACTATTAGGCTGACATTGAGTGAAAAAGTATCACCTTTGGTGCAAGCTAAACATAATTACTGAGCTATTACCAGCAGAAAGTCAGCTTAACTTGTCAGTTCTCAGCAAATTTGCAGCACTTAATTAGGGAGAGGTGGAGCTTAACTTTCTTAGAAGAACTCATTTAAGGAAGCTCCTCTTATATTCCTTCTAGTTAGAAATTTTGAATCCTTCCTCACCTCTCTCCTGTCTCAAAAGCTAGACAATTTAAAGCTTTTTCAGCTGAAATACAGAGATGTGACACGGAGAGCAAAACTATCAAAAAGTGTACTCCAAGTTTTCATGTCAGCTTAAAAAAACTAAAGGGGCATAAAATTCTGATACTGCTGGTGTCACTTTTGAACAGCAGATGTTCGGAAATAAAATTAAATTTTAATTCTAACATCAGGATATGACCAAGAATCTCTCTTCATCTCAAGTGTTTTCGCTCGCCCACTTTCCCAAGAGCAATCACAAGTCTATGACTCACATACTATACCAATCCTGCAAATTAAAAGAAAATGTTGTTCCTACTGCCATTCAGCCAAAGGTACTCCCACAGCTCTCCAGTCACAAGAGACTTGAGTAAGTCTGCCTTCTAGAGTGAAATGCTGTGGTCTCTGTTATGCAGGATGAACTATGGTATCTTAAGTTTTACAAACCCATCAGAAGCTGCTAGAGAGTTGTGTACCTCGAGTCTCTGATATGGTGCCATGAGAAAAATTGTGAGTGAAGCAGATAAAACTCTGAAGTATAACAGAAGATTTTGAGGACACCTTCAGAAGCAGGTGGTAATTGGTAGCATTAAAAGGAGAGGTCAGTACTCAAGTTTCCCAAATATTATTTCCATACATAAAATAAAAATAAATAAAATATGCAGAGGATGCTAACGAACTTTGCTAAAGTTCTTTGGTGATGAAGTGGTGAAGTCTTCTGAGGACACGCTGGAATGCCATATGAAAGGAACTGGATAATCTTAAAGCTTCTGAAGAATAAAAATCAGATGATATTTTGCATCACAAATGCAGAGTTGTGTCCTGGATTGGTTAACAGCAAATTCTCCTGTTGGCTAGAAGGTTGATGTTTATAAACAAATATTGATGAGAAAAACCTGGTCAAAAAGAGTATGACACTGCTATTAGGAGTATCCAAGGGAATGTAGGTGCCATTATAGGAATGGAATGCAGAATAGTTTGGTTCTGTTGCTTTAGCAAAATAAAGGCTGGGAAGGGGGGATATAGCTGCTTTTTAAATGTACACTAGGGGTAAGCACCAGGAAGGTTAAAGGCTGTTTAAGCTGGTCCTTAATTAAGCAACTTAATGATGACACAGGGAAAAAAAATACATTCATGGTTTTGGTTTGGAAATTAAAATTTATTATTGGTCAGAGAAATTAACACTAGCTCCTAAATAGGAGCTAGAAAAAAGCATTGTGAATCTCAGTCGTTCAAGGTGCAGGAAATAGATAACATACAATGCCAACTGCCTTGCTGATAAAATAAGCAGATGGCAGTTCCCCATGTGGCTCCTTTTTTTTTCTTTTGTGCTGAAAGTGAATTTACAAGAGATGGTTGAAGGGAGTTATGCACATTTTTTTCCCACAGTGTTTATTGCACTAGCGCATTAACCAGTAGAGAGTCTTCATGTTTATCTGTCAGGAATAGAATATTACACAAGCCCATCTGGTATGGCCAAGTAGATCTACTGAAGTCGGAGCAGCTCTCTCCAGACCCTATGAGCTCAAAATTTGTCCTGTTCACTTTGGGAAGAAAAAATTGCCCTTGTCATTTATTATTAACTGGTAAACTTTGTGATCCTGAGATATGTATTCCAGGCTCAGCAGAGACATCCAGGCACCACTGAGGCCATCATTAGGCTTGTGTTGAAATTTTAAAGGTTTATCAATACTTGCAAATACACATAGGGCTTCCTGTGTCCTCCTGCTTCCTGGGAGTTAGCAAGATGCTAAAAGAATGACTGGCCTATGAATCCTGTTTGCTGCGACATAATTTTGTATGCAGGGAAAAGGGTAAGCAGATTAGATTCAGGTTGTGATGGATAGGTTAATAGAAATGAGTGCAAGCAAAACAAAAGGGTTTTTTCCTGACATAAGTAAATAGAGGAGGGAAGTCTACTGGAATCCCCTTCATAGTTTTTTATTCTAATGAACTTGTCAGGAAGAAAATGATTTATGAGAGTTATAAATTTTTTTTTCACGCTGAATATGCATTTGCTTTATCCATGTTCAGACTGGGAGTTGTGGTAAAGGAGGAGGAGGGAGCAGCTCCTCCTAGACAAAATTTCCCCTGCTTAATCAAATCTAATATCCTAGTAGCTTTTGTAAGCTAATGATACACTGCCCAGCTACTCTCACCATAAGGCTGGGCAAGGATTTGACTTTCCCCAACTGCCAATCAATGCAGCTGCTAAATTTACTTCAGGTACAGGGCAGCAATAAATTCTTATAAGTTTGGACATAGAAATCAAACTATTTATTAGCTTAAATGTCCTGCAGCACTTGTAAACCCATCTGAGTTTATGACCTGTTCTTTGATCCTGTGTGCACTTTAGATGTCTATACCATATTTACCACCCCCATCTTTGACAGGAGTTTGAAAGCAACATCTGAAAGCAACATCTTATTGGACTTGCATAAGTCAGGACAGGCAATTGAAAAGGCCTGTCCTAGGAGAGGAGTTATGATCTTTTGTGTAAGAGCCACTAGAAATTTTCTGTTAAGTATGAAAGAGCTTGAAGTCCTTTGCAGCTCAGCAGAAGTGTTTTAAGTTCTAGTGAAGTCCTGTCTTGAAATATCTTCTGCAAAAAAAAATTTACAACAATGAGACCATAATATAAAAAAACCTCAACAACAACAACAGAACCACCAAAACAAAAATCCCCACCAAAACAACAAAAACACAAAGCCAAAAAAAACCCCAGGAAGAATGGATAAATTTTCTACCTAGAAATGCTTAATTATTTGAAAAAGAAAAAAATCTATATTTTTTCTCAAGTGTAATTTCCAGTTGAGGGGCTAAACTCGCCAAGAGAATTGGGAACTTGCCCCCGGTACTTTGATGTTATAGAAATCAGTTTGTTTACTTGGCACAGAGGTGCCTGAATTTCAGTTGCATGTGAAACTGCCTGCACTCTGCCATCACTGAGCTCAGTGGGGCCCGACTCCTGTTTAAGGCTTGGAAAGATTTTCAAGGAAACAGAGCCCTTCCCTTCTTCCTAGCAAAGAGTTATCCTGTAGTTACTAAATTGGCTGTCATGTAATGAACAGATGACTATTTTAAGCCAGACAAGATATGTCTTCTACTAGTCCAGGTTGATAAGCACATCTTCTACTAGTCCAGGTTGATAAGCACATCTTCTACTAGTCCAGGGATTAGTATGTTCACCCAGATAGTTGTATTCTGTCAATAGTGAAATGAAGATATGGATCTATCTATTATGAGGGATAACTAGAGATACCTTGTGTATTCAAACTGTAGAAGAGCATTACCACAGTCTACAAGGCAGTGAACACTGATTGCCCTCATCTCCTACAAACACTGGGAGGAGGAGAAGACACACATCTTACTTTAGATCAGGACCTGTGTATGTACCCAACATACAGGATTAACAGCAGATCACTTCACACATGGCTGTTCTTGGCACAGTTCAATTTCCAAAGCAATTCTCAAAGTGATGGAGGTGAAGGATGATACCACCTTTGCTGATTGTCCCTTGCTGAGCCATAAATTGACACTGATTGTGAGCGAGGAAGGTCTCTGGTAATAGCTTGGCAAGGTGGCAGCAGCCATAAATACGTAGGAAAGAAAGGGGACATCTCCTGACAAGCCTGTTATCTCCAGCGCAAAGTTGCAGCACTTTTTGTTAGACATTTTTAGATAATTAAGAAGAGCTGATATTATCCTGCTGATTATTTGTCTGTATTAGCGTAGTTCACACAGAAATAATCAACAGTGCCACCTGATATCCCTTCATAAAATCACTATTTTACCTTCAATTTTGAATAAAGGATATTTGTTCTTAAAGCCCCTGTTTTTACAGTGATACCTGTAAAATGGCTGACTGCATTTAAAAAGATCTATAGAAAAGCTTCAAAATGCAGCTCAACAGCAGTCTGCAGACTTGGAAAAGCAAATAAAGAATCTAAGCTTTATTACTAATATTTTAAAATCTTACATGTTTTGAAAGGTTGGTCTCCAAGGCCAGAAATTATCAAGTTCAACTGCTAGGACCTAAAAGTACTGTATACGCTCTGTTTTGTGAGGTGACTATTTCCTATGTTGGCCAAGACTCTTCCAGGTTTACTGTAATATTTTGATTTCATCTTGAAGTGATGCATTAACCATGATGGAGGAAAGCCTTGAACCAGAAGCACAGAAGTTGCAACAAGGAAGAAAATTCTTGATCAACCAACCACTACCCAAAACTGACTTCTTCTTTCTCTTTTTAACAATTTGTCTTTCCTTGAAACAGCTGCATCATGTGTGATAATGAGAGACCTTACGGCAATTAAAGGAATAGCAACCTGGCTGTTGTCCCCATGGATGTGATGTGTGGAAGGTGGTGAGGTTTTCTCCTGCCTAGGGCCTCTCTCAGATACCTGTGGACATTGTGACTTCCTCATCAGCACCACTGGGAGGCTGGCCTGGGTGTGGGTTATTACACCCCCTGTAACCACTTGAGATCTATCAGGGACAGTCCCAGCCTGATACGCAGGAGGTCTGTCCCTCTGCCCTGGGAAGAGAGGATGGAGCATGACCCTGGTTGCCTGGCAACACCGAGGTCTGGCCACCTTGCTGAGGTCTGGCCTGGAAGCCATGCTGCGACCTGCTCCATCCACCACAGTGCTCTCATCCTCTGCGGTGGCACCAGCTGCCCTCAACCGCCTGCAGAGCTTGGGTGGGTGTGCGCAGGGCTTGGGGGCTGCTGAGGTGCATTCTGCCCCAGCACTGGGAGGGAGGCTGGTCTCCTTGGGACAAAGTCCCTCCAGTGCTGGGTTGGCAGAAGCAGGGAAAGACCCAAATCTTGTATTGTACATATATTTTCTACTGTGGGAATGTATGGGGCCAGGGCTTAATAGGGAAGATGGTCATTATTTTAACCTTACCATTTTTTGTCATTTTAAATATCTGCTTAAGAAAGCATGGCTAACGTTATCCTCATGGCTGCAGTGTCTGGGGGCTGTCTTATCCTGTATGCCTGGTTTGCTGGAGTTAATGTAGAAGACACAAAATCTGAGGGGAAGAGTCACTGAAAATGTTTGATGGGGAAGGGCCATGTGTAGGCCATGTGTTTCTAAATGATCTGGCTGTCATGGTTGTTAATGCATTTCCTCCTTGTCTCTTTGGTTTTGCTATCACATATGGGGCCATCTGGTTCCTCTGTGGGACTCCCAAGACTTTCTGGCAAGCACATATGTGAAGATGTCTAGGGTTTTTCCTCTTCAAGCCTTTCTACTACATCTTATTTCTAGAAACCCTGCTTAAAAAAGTTTTTGTGGACAGTCTCTACCTGTAACACAAACCTTCTCACTATCACCAGTGCTGACACTGCAGCACAACGTTGAGAAAAGTCCTGCTTCAACTACAAGTCTGGTGTCACATTAAGAAAGCAAATGCACTTTGCATGGTGCTTCAGGAGTTGTGACAGGTGGTGCGAGGCAGATGCTTGAGGTCCCCTCAGCTTCTGAGGTGAGCATGTGGCATGGCATCTGAAGGCAGAAAGAAATCTAAACTATGCTCAAAGCACAAATTCATCCCCCTCAGGTCCTGAGAGGTTACAAGTCCTTGAATTGTCTTGAATGTTACTGTATTTCCTGTGTCGTATCAGACAAGAACCTGCTTATGGAGCTGTTGGGCTTTCTCAGAAGATAAATGTGGCCTATAGAATCGCATTTATCACAGTGTCTCTTTTAAGAAATATAGCCTGCTTTCAGGGTAGTTGGGTGGATTACAGAAGTGCAAAACTGGAACAATTCAGCAACCAGAACTTGTTGTGAAGATCAAGTAACGACTAAAACCAGAATAAATTTGCTTTAGAAGGAAAGATTAATCATCATGCAAGAGAAGGATTGCTACAAATGTAAGCAAAGAAATTGCACTATGAGTAATGAAGTTAGCCAGACAAAAAAGCACCAAATAAACTAAGTACCAAGAGATGCATTTCAAACAGATTTTATATGTCTCTAAAATGCTCCTCTTTGAGAGCTAGGGAAAGACATGTATTAGGGCTGAGCAGCCTCTAGGGATGGATTCCATGCTGGTGGACACTGCCTCTGGTTACCATTTCACATTTTCCAATTTCAGAACATTCGAAACTCCATTGCTGTCAAATCTGTTTAATGGAAAGATATTCTTGTCTAACAAAACTGGTCAATTATAGATAGCAAGGATTGGCCATAGTTTATGGTTGTAGATGTATATCACAAAATATTCACTTCTGGAGGCCTCAGCTGTCAGATTAAGGACTGTATGGAGCTAGGGCCCGAGCTTTCCTGTGTACGTTTGAGATTGGTTGCAGGGCATTATCTCAACAGCTTGGTTTGAAAGGCTGTACGAATATAATGTCCCTCAAAGAACTTATAACCTAGAGGTCACAAAAAGGTGTACACAAATGAGACAAATGGTTTGGGGTGACATAAGCTGTAGCATGAGATCTAAGATGATGTGGAAACACTTCACCAGTAAATGTCTGTGGTCTTGCTACTCTGCCCTCCTGGCCACTGTAAGGTTGCAGTTCATCCCAAAAGAGCCAAGGTGTTGAGGAAGTGGACAAAGCAGTGACTATAGGTTCTGAGAATGTGGTATGCAAGTAGTGCTCTACTGTGCTGGGAGAATAAACTGATGTTGTTCTGCAGCTGGAAGTTTGTGCTGAGAGGCACTGAATGAGAGACGGCAGGAGGGATGAAAAATGGATAGCTGACAATTGTTTGCGTATCACCTTGATTTTTATGCCACTTTGAAAAGGTTTAAAGGTTTGAAGAGTTTTGGCAGTGAAGAGGGTGAGATAAAAGGCTGGCTGAGCTTTGTAGCAGCATGTAGGCAAAAATGCCAAGACTTTTCAGAGGTATTTTTTAATATTTTTTTAAATAAAAACTCTGTAGTTGGGAAACCTGTATTTCAGTACTTTACTAATGTTAGTTCAAGTCTGGCATTTAGTTTTGGTTTAGTAAGAGGCATAGAAAGGAACTGAAAATGTCTGAATGCGTTATCTCAACTTTTTTTTTAAGGAGATATTTCATCTAGGAAATACAGGTTTTGAGAAAGCAAGTACAAAAGAGGAGAGAAAATTAAATAGATAAAAAGAAATCAAGAGGGGGTATGGAAGAGAGAAGACCTCAAGGACTGAAAAAAAGTCTTCACAAGCAGAACTTATATTAGATATTAATACTGATTTTCTTTTATGCCCAAGATGACTTAAATTTTGTTGTTTCTGAAGAAAATAGCTCATACTTCTGTTGATTCTAAGGTGGTAAAAAGGCTGTGGTTTCAGACTGCTATCATTAGAAATAATTGTCTAGAATTATTACTAATTTGTGAAGCTTGGGCAAATTCTGCTCTTATGCCACCCACTCTGCTGTTTGCCACTTACATAGGCGTGTTTTCTGCCATCTCTCCTGCTCCTAACAGAAAGTTACATACTGGTAGGTGCTCATCATCAGGCCTGAAAACGGGCAGGTAGGGCAGAAGTAGAGTCTGTGCCCAGCCTTTCTTCCCATCAACTCCAGATAAAGATCCTAGTGAAATGGGTCAGATACTAGTTTGCAAACAAGTTAGCATGTCAAATTAAAACCAGAGCTGGCTGAGTGCCTTGTCTTCACTACAAATTCACTTATGCCTGGATTTACAAATTTTCTTCTCCCCCCCTTCCTGTGAGGATTTAGCCTCTGTTACAAAATCGGTATATAAAGAATTTCATGCCACTGTAACAGGTACAATAATCTTTTGGATGAATTCAAATCCTTGCAATTATTCTTCGAGCTCAAGATAAATTTAACAATACAAAGAGTAGCTTCTGGAATAATGTAAATCTCACTTCAGGCTTTGATGAATCCGGATTAGTATTTTTGGTTGGAAAGAGACATAATGAAGCCATGACTGCTTGGAAAAATTCTAAAGATTAGCTATGCCCTGCTTAAAGGGAAATTATTTTGATCCATAGCTTTTACTTCAGCTTAATAACCTCTGTAAACTTCTCTGAGTTACTCTTTTAAAAGATTAATGCTGCAGATATGAATTTGTAAGGATTTTGTGACTGAAAATTTTACCAGGTCCTGTGGACTTCATATGCCACTTTTCCATATGCTTTTCTATGCACCAGTAAGAGGAGTGTGAAAGATGCTGACCTACTTTATAACCAAGGAAAACAGATTTAGCAAATAATTAGAAAATAACTCCTTCTCTTTCAGAATAATTCTTGCAGAACAATGGAGAATTATCTGAAGATTTAAAACTACATTCTAATTTCATTATATTTTTCATTTAGAAAAATGTTTGAAAAATGAAGATATTTCGTTCAGTGGAGAAATTGTGCAGCGTCTTGAAGATACTATTGTTGCTATTAAGAAATTGGTAAGAAAGATCTAGTATTTAGTTTCCAATACATGGGAAAGGATTAGTTGATGACCGGTCTTGTTCAACATCTTTGTCGCTGAAAGGACAGTGGGATTGAGTGCGCCCTCAGCAAGTTTGCCGATGACACCAAGCTGTGTGGTTCGGTTGATACGCTGGAGGGAAGGAATGCCATCCAGAGGGACCTTGACACGCCTGTGAGATGGGCTGATGCCAACCTCATGAAGTTTAACCATGCCAAGTGCAAGGTCCTACACCTGGGTCGGAGCAGTCCCAGGCACAGCTACAGGCTGGGCAGAGAAGAGATTCAGAGCAGCCCTGCGGAGAAGGACTTGGGGGTGTTGGTCAATGAGAAAATGAACATGAGCCAGCTTCAGTGTGCACTTGCAGCCCAGAAAGCCAACCATATCCTGGGCTGCATCAAAAGGAATGTGACCAGCAGGTCGAAGGAGGTGATCCTGCCCTCTATTCTGCTCTCGTGAGACCTAACCTGGAGTATTGTGTGCAGTTCTGGTGTCCTCAACATAAAAAGGACATGGAACTGTTGGAACAAGTCCAGAGGAGGGCCACGAGCACCTCCCATATGAAGACAGGCTGAGAAAGTTGGGGCTGTTCAGCCTGGAGAAGAGAAGGCTGCTTGGAGACCTCATAGCAGCCTTCCAGTATCTGAAGGGGGCATATAGGGATGCTGGGGATGGACTCTTCATTAGGAACTGTAGTGGTAGGACAAGCGTTAATGGGTTAAAACTTAAACAGGGGAAGTTTAGATTGGATATAAGGAGGAAATTCTTTCCTGTTAGGGTGGTGAGGCACTGGAATGGGTTGTCCAGGGAGGTTGTGAATGCTTCATCCCTGGCAGTGTTCAAGGCCAGGTTGGATGAGGCCTTGGGTGATATTGTTTAGAGCGAGGTGTCCCTGCCCATGGCAGGGGTTTGGAACTCGATGATCTTAACGTCCTTTCCAACCCTAACTATTCTATGATTCTATGGTTCTATGAAATCACTCTTTTACACTATTAGAAGTGTTCTCTTGTGGGAGTTATAGTCTAAGAGAGAGAGACAGGCAGTTTGGAGTGAAGTTGGTGGGTGCTTGCATGCACTTTGCCACCTGCAGAAGTTTGGCTGTGATAGAACAAGCCAATCTGACTAGTTTAGATACAGGGTTGATCCAAGGTTAGCTCACCTGCTGGTGTTTTGATGCGGGAGCAGTAGATGCTATTTACACTAGGGGTTAGTGACATTTTAGGCATGTCCAGACTTCTGTTGAAGTAAAAAGAGGAAGGATCTTATGTCTAGCAGATTAAACTGGGACTTAGGGTTGAAGTTTTGTTCCCAGGTCTATCGTGTCTTCATAGTTTGTGTAAGTATAATCTCTGACCCTACAGTGACTTAGTAGGAACATCACAAAAATCACTTGAAGGCAAAGGCCTACTTATGTAGAGAGTTTTACATCATAAGGGCTTTAATGCCATTAGTGCAAGGGAGAAAAATCATGCTTCTCTCTCAGGGCTGCTGTGAGGATACACCCACTAATGTTAGTGCATTCAGCAGATGGTACAGACTTCAGCAGGCAGGTGGTTTTCCCTATGACTAGGTGCAAAAGGATTTTTATTTTTTTTTTAACAGTTTGTTTTTCCTTGAAACAATTGCATTATGCGTGATAATGAGAGACGTTACGGCAATTATGAGCTGAGGATGGCTGTTCAAAGGTAGCTAACTTTTGCTGTAAGATTTCTGGAGCCATAATGTATTTGTCTAGGTAGATGTAAATCTTGTAAAACTTTGCTTTCTCTCTCAGGAGGCCTCTAAATCATCTATTTCAGGCCATCTCTGCATTAGTTTATCAGATGAGTGGTTTATGTGATGTTCTGAAATCATAAAGTTGTTTTCTTTGTCACTGTTTCAGCTAATTGAGAATGTAACCCATATGAAATTAAAACCTACACATTTATTTTACACCTCTAAATATTTTGTCTTCTCAAGGAAATTAGAGTAATTTATATGCATGTGTATAAAATTTGCTCTAGAGACAGTAAAATTCAAGAGGATATTTTCTTCTCACAGTGTCTCAGCTGGTGATTGCAACTGCTGGCAAAACCAAAGGGGAAAGATAGGAGTGGTTTTATGCATAAATTGTGATGCCAAAGTCAACATCCACTTAAGAACTGATTTCCCAGACATTTGGGCTTTTAACCCACCTACAATTAATTCTCAGTCTTACAGATTTGGGATTCATTTGTTGGAGGGCTTCTCCCACACTCAGTTCAGTCTGTTTTCTCTTGTTCTGCCTTCACTCTAAAAGTGACCCTTCTTATACTATTAACCATGAACCGGAAGATGACTTTCTAGCATGTCTCAGGGCCAGTTACAGTCTCCCTTCTTCAGCACAGCTTCAGGACATAGGGAAATGAAGCTCTCTGTTTCTTAAATAACACCTTTCATGCACAGTGGCAGAAGCTAACAGTTGAGACCTTCCTGTCAGCACAACTTTTATAGCAGAAATGTAGGCAACAGACTCCTCAAGATTGTACTGGTCAGAAGCCAACAGTTCCTGGAGATACATAGATTTGTTCAGCTACCTGTAGAACAAATTAATTGTTATTTCAAAGAGTGAAAGAAAAGAGAAAAGAGAGTAAGTAGGAGGAATGGGAATGATATAGCTAGCCATGGAAAATACTCAGTATCAACCAACTAAAAAAAAAAAAAAGAAAGAAAGAATGGTTTTGTAAGGAGAAGTGCTTTTTCATCTGTTGTAATACTTGGTTCTCACTAGTGGATTTTTTAGTCGGCAGGAAGAAATTCGAAGACGTACCCTTGAATGCCTAGAAGAGGAGACTATAAAAAAACAGCAATCTTTGCTTCACAATACAGAATTTTTCAGGAGAGAATATTAAAGAGATGACAGGTAGTATTGACTTAAACAGCTCTGTAAACCTCCCCCCAGGAGAACTGAATTTTCTATGAGTTTCTATGATTTTCTATGAGTTTAAAAAATTTGAAGTATTCTATAAAATAAATCTTACTGCTAAAGGAAAATCGCTTTCTGTAATAACTTATTAATGGAAGAAGATAGGTGTTTGCTGATATATGACACTGTGAGGGACTATTCTGTCACGTAAGTGTATAAATTAGAGATACCTGCACTGGAGACCATGCACAAGCACTACAGGAATGACTGGAGAAGTGCAGCATTCAATTTGGACACCAGCTGTGCCACAACCTTTCTCTGATCCTAGAGATGGAGCACTTGAGTCCTCTGTGCTGCAAGTTCCCCTGTTCTGAAGCAGGGATAATAATGCTTATCTGATGTGACATTAATTTTGGGTGGGGTTCATTTTGCAAATGCCTATCAACTGTCTCTTGTAGACAGTGAAGAGAAAGAGGCATTTCTAGGCATAGAATCATAGAATGGTTTGAGTTGGAAGGGATCTTCAAAGGTCATCTAGTCCAACCCTCTTTTAATGAGCAGGGGCATCTACTAGACCAGGTTACTCCACATCCAGGCACATCCAGCCTGGTCTTGAATGTCTCCAGGGACAGTGCATCCAGCACGTCTCTGGGCAACCTGCTCCAGCATTTCACCACCTTCACTGTAAAAAATTTCTTCCTCATGCCTGGTTCACCTCACTCCAGAATAAATGTTTTAAAGCAAGTCAGAAGGATCATGGGCTGGAACTGCCTCTTTCTCTCCACTGAAGGGAGGCTAAAGCCTTAGGTCAAATGTAGGTATCTGGATGAAAACAAACTTTGAGCTCTATTTCTCTTTTTTTCTTTCTCAGATATGGCTTTACTTTTAAGATAACCAAGGTATATTCTGCAAATCACCCTCTATTTGCACTGTAGTCTTAAAGCAAAGCAGTCAGTTGATCTAGATGAATGTTTGGGTTTCTTCTTTTTTGTGAGAAGCAGGGAAGTTGGTTTTTTTTTCTAGCTAACCATGAGTCTGCATGACTGTTAGTGGTGACACAGGAGGAGGGATGGCAGGGTCACCAAGGAGAGTAGGACTACTCCTTTTAGAGTATGATGGAGTTAGATCAGCTTTAGGTTCATCATGAAACAGCAAACAGAACTTCCTCTTCCCCTCACCCATCTCCTTTCAGATTATTTCTTTTTTCCCCCAGATACATTTTATGTTTGTTGATTACTTTCTTGTAGCCGATTTCCTCCCTCACCTTCTCTTTGCCTGCAGCATGTGGTTGCTGTGCAGTTGGTTGTTTATACTAGCTACTCCCATTCTGCACTGCCTAAGTGTGTCTGCATGGGTGGATGCACACTAATGTGACTCTTCGCTCAGCAGCTGAAAAGATGCTGTGGTACAACACCCATGCACAGAAGAGCATTATCCACAGAGCCTCTTCACACACTTCCACACAGCAGTGGCTCTTCTGGGAGAAATGCTATTCTATTTCAAGCCAGGTGATCCTGATTCTTATTCCTGGATGCTAGAGCTGGTTGTGCAGAAGATCACTGAGAGGGAAAAGGAGTAATTTGTATCAGTTCACTATATGTTTAGAAAATTTCGTAGACATATAGTGTGAAAAAGAGCAATTGTTTTGTGCAAACGCAGCAGGCTGCTTCTTGTTGGTAAATGCAGTTGACTCAGGGAAGATGTGATAAGATGAAACTATCAAAATAAAGTATGCAACTTCAGGGATATTAGTGTCTTAGAATCACAGCTGTCCCTTTCCAGGTGACAATACTAATAGTAGTGAATTAAAGATTATGGATCAATCACTTAATGCACTATCTTATATATATCTTCTGTATGTTTTGTATTTACTTTTTATTATTTATTCTTATTACTGCTGCATGTGAATTTAGTGCTGCTAAGATACATCAGCTGCTGTCTACATTGGAAAGCATTGCTTATAAAATTGAATTACTGACTGAGAAGGAAGCCCTTTGTGAAAGACAGAATGCTGAACTGTGGTATGTATTCATTTGAACAAGCAAAAAATAAATACTGACAAGATGATCAAGGAGAATTGAAATATTATCAAAGCATGGTAAGTAGTGCTTGGCCTCACCCCTGCAGCTTGCCACAAATGTTCCTAGGCAACTCTGCTGCAGCAGCAAGAATAATTTTTAAGATGTCTTTTCATGAACAGCAGAGCCTGCCTGGTACTGCATGCCCTCTGTAGCCCCGATAAGCTCGCTTAGGGAAAACTGTCTGCAGCTTTGCTTCTCACACTTGCAAGGGAGAGTTTTCTGTTTCAACTATTAATGTTAAGGAACTACTACAGGCAAAATTCATAGTTTTCAGTTTAAAAAGAGGCAGGAACTCTGAATTAGCAACTGTGCTAGAGATCCACCTTCCTTTTCAAGAATTACCCCAAGAAGATACAGAGAGCTGGGAGATATTTTTCTCCCTGCCAGATTTCATGTTACTGTCACCTTCTGTCATGCTGCAAGAGCTGCTCAAAAATAAATCACAATGCATTTTCTTAAGGGAAGCCTGCTTCCTTTGTTCTTTCAGAACTTGCAAGCAGCCCTTCCATTTTTACTGAAACGTGTGGAAAATAATCACATCAGAAAAAGTAAAACTTTTTAAAAGTTATAATACAAATAACCGAAAGCCATTTCATTGGAATGGAAGGTCTTAGATGGTCTTCATCACAGGTACAAATGCATGTCGTGCATGTATAGTGCCCTAACAGACTGAGCTGATAATGTCTGGGTAGGCAAGTATTTGTTTCAATGAACATCTGAACCAAGTCTTCGATTTGAATGAATAGTAGGAAATATACTTTTCATCTATTGTGTTGGGGTTTTTTTCCAGTAAGGAGCAAGAATATTTGCAGGCACAGCATAAAGAAAGAGTAGACTTGCTGAATGAAAGGATGGCAGCAAAAGTTAACACAAATGCTCTCTTAACTGAAACTTGTGATAAAACAAGACAGAAAGAAAAAGAAATAATTAGTACAAAGGCAGCATTAGCAGAACTTAAAGAAAAAATAGCTGAAAAAATGAGTAAACTTGAAAAAGATGAAGAAGGATATGATAAAGAGGTAAAGGTTTTGAAATACAACTTTTTTTAAAGTCTTACAGATATAGTGCCAAAAAATGAAATTACGTTAGAAATTATTCCAGATGTTGCATTCTTCTTTCTCTTATGGAACTAACATATATTTCCACAGCATCACAAGCAGAAAAGTGACTCTGACATTGGGTGCTTTTTTGATTTCTGTATACATATGCTTGTGTGTGTGGTATGTATGCATGTATGCATACACCTACAAACATGCCACATCAAAATTGCATGGTGTATGAAATTTGTTTTCTAGCAGCACATCTCAGAATGTAATGCATTGATGCTTCTTACTAACTGTGGGACAAATAATCATGTACCAGGAAATCAATCCCTCCAGGCAAATTGCTTAAAATAAAGGTACCTATATTTTCCAGCAAGCTCTGAGATAAGGTTTTACTATTTTTTTATATTCTGCTTTACTTCCATTTGTGTATATTTGATACTTTTCTAAATGATAACATAAAACAGATGATCAGATTAAAAGAAAACTTTCTAGTAGAAAATATGGTATAGTCATGTTCCTACACTGCAATAAAATCACATGAAATTTTGGCAGATCAGGTACTAATCTGCATGTTATATTAATTGTTTCTTTTTCACACAGAATTTTGTTATTTGGTACGTAGCTGTGGCTTTTCAGAAACTTATTTTCTTCTAGTGTAAATTTTGTGCTTATTTAATTTTAGAAGGCTTCAAATGTTTTAATATACACTTTAAACAATACATAGTACATTGCTGAATTAATTGTATTATTTTCAATGTAGAATACGGAAATGAAAAAATTCCTTGAATCTCAGGAGGCAAAAATATCCCAGAAAAAGCATGAATTTGAGAACTTGAATGTAAAATCTTCAGATCTGCAGCATTTGATAAGTCTGAAGTCAACAGTAAGTTATATACAAAATTGTTTTGGTTCACTAGTGCAAAGATCAAAATTGAATTATAAAAAATTATCAAAATTGAAAAATAGAATGTCCATATAGACTGTTTTTACCAGCGTAATAAACCAGCCAGCTACTCTGTGCTGGTCAAGCTATATATCGGGTAATATCGGGAATATTAAAAGAGTCTTGGATCTCAGTCATCCACATGCTGCTAGTGAAGCTAGTTGGAGGATGAGCTGAAAAAGAGAAATTATAATGACAGATATTTAGTGGATGCAAACTATGACATAAGGGGAAGACACTGGAAGAAATTTAGAGAAGACTCTGTTCAGATAGTGTGAAAGAGTTTGTACTGGGAAAGTGTTGTAGAAACTAAAATAAGTAAGGAGACTATATTATGTTCAGCTGCCTGGGAATTCATTCAGCAACATAACTCCACACTGGTGGACATGACGATTTTAAACAGGCTCAGGATCTGGAAAATCAAAGCTGAAAAGACACCCAGGCTTTCTCTGTCTGCCACCTATTTAATATTGGTTTCCAGTTCAACCCTGCCTACTCTAGAACTACTTTTCCCTTTTAGCAGGAATAACTTATCAGAGGAAAGTAGGGGAAGATCATTGTCTTCATCTTTCCTTTTATGATTTCTTGCAGCATAAATTCAAACTCTGTGCATTCAGTTTAAGATCTGCTGAGTTATCTCAGCACTACTGAAAATAACCATACTGCAAAAGCAATACTTGTGTAATGAGTTGAGCCAAACTGAAATGTAAAACATAATTTTCTGCCCTAATCTTGACAATTTCTGTTATAAGCACTGCTGCCTTGACAATAAAAGTCCTATCTGTCTGAATATTAGTAACAACTCAGAATTGTACCAGAGTTAATTCTGCACTGAGGCTCCCTTAAATGACAGATTTCATTGGTTATTTTTTAAAATTTCTTTCCCTTACCAACCTGCATTGATTTATTTTTTTTTTTTACCTCTTTAAGTGATTAAATACAATAAATACAGCCTTACCCACTGCTTCTGAGAATTCGTTCTTTGCAGGCTGTAGTAATTTTTACTTTGAAATCTCAGTGACTAGAAAATAGTAGAGCCTCATGTGTACGTTAGGAAATTAAAAAAAACAAAACAACAGCAAACAACAAAAACAAACCAACAGACCAGTGGCAATGAAGTGATTCATTATCTGCTGTTTTGGAAATTTCACATATTTTGACCTAGTCTGTTGTATTTTTATAGGCTGTACTTGATGAAGAAATTGCTCTAGAAAATCTGAGAGAAGAAAGCAAGCAACTAGAAAAAAGCTTGGAATTTAGAAAAATAGATATGCTGGCACTCTTAGAACAGAAGTAAGTATTAAACTATTTGATTTGATCTTTTACTAAGCCTGTATCAGTGTTTTCTGAGGGACTCTTTCTACTGGCTTCAGTAAAGACTTGGAGGACAGTTGGAGTTAATCTGAATTAGCTGTTAGGAACAAATATTCACAAATGTGCCCTTTGGAAGAGGGTTATACTGTTACTCTAACAATATGTCTGGTTAGGAGAGATAGTCATTACTCCCTGTATAAGCTGTCATCATCCTATCAGCTGGAATACTTACATTTGCTATGGCACAGAGATTCTTTCTTCTTTTGTATGTTACCTGAGATGCAAAGTATCACAAGTGATGTGAATAAGCAATATAATCCAAATATCATTCTGTGGACCTCTCTATGTTACATTCAGGGAACTTAATGTGGAGATCTTCAATTTAGCATTATCCAACCTAGGTCCATAACTGCTTCTCTTCTGACTATGCCATAGGCCTTCTGAAAGGTTGTATGACCAAAGGGATGGGGAAAAAAGTTGGGACTCTTCCTGGTGATTCAAGCTTTTTGTTTGAACCCGTTTCCCTTTACAAGCTGAGCTAAGAATCCTTACAGAGAAAAAAAATACAAGTTCTTGGAAACTTGGGTAAAATTATTGCTCTGAACTCTACTATTTTTCTTCATGGCACAACTAATTCATTAATGTCTTCATGAAATTAATGTTACCATTAATTAACAATGTAATTACTATAAAAAATGAGCTGCAGCTAGCATCCGGCTGTGGGCCCTGATCCTGAAGACAGTTATAAATTGCTTACTTTTGCTCTCCTGAAGTTTAACTTCAGTAAAAATATCTGTGCTAGGGATGTTGACCACACTCATGTTTTAAGAGTCCAAACAGTTATGATCTGGTGATGACCAAAGAGGTGTAGGCTGTGCTGAGTTTCATAACCCAAGCATACTAAATATGCTGTCTGTCCTTTTTTTTGCTGCATTTTTATAGCTGCTCAATGTTATGGATGTCTTTATTTGTTTTCGAGCATTTCTCCTTCATAATTTATTTTACTATTTCATGTAGCAGATGAGTTAGGATGTTAAGACAAAGAAAAGATCTGGTCAATGTATTTTTTTTTTTCCTTCACAGTGTTTGGCACATACTCTCAAAGTTTGTCTACAGAAAATATTGCCTTTCCCCACAAGTCATTCTTGGCTTGTATTCTAAAATCTTGTAGTACAAAACCTACTAGTTCTGTAAGTCCTTACCTTCTTTGTAGGGTTTGGTATTTTCTCATCAGATATATCAAAAGGAAGTAATTAATAAAGATACTTGAATGGAATACAACTCAAATATATGTAGATGTAGCTTTAATTCACGAGGGGCCAGGGAGTAAGAATACATGATTTTTTAACTAATTTTAAAAACATATATTTTGTTAATCCTCTCCTAAATGTGTCTACATTGGCTTTGTTTAATAGGATTCAGCTTGAATCTGAATTACTGCATTTACAATCAAAAATTGCCCAAGAAAAGGAACATTTCAATAAGGAACTTGTAAAAGTAAGAATTTTTTTTCTTATTCTGGCTCAGAGGTTTTACTAGGCCTTGTCTTGCCGAAACACTCAATGAGGACAGACCTGCAGGAAGTGTGACATAAAGTGCTTTAGGTGCTTTGATTTGCCTGTGCCTCTGTGCTTAATGAGTGTGAGCAGAGAAAAGGAGTGCAAGCACTTGCAGGACATGTGAACTCTACCTTCTACTCATGCTTAGGAGGTTGTGCTGGAGGTAGAGGCGAGATCTACTCTTCAGCTGAGGCCATGGACTGATGTTGAAAGACTTAAGGGGCACTGAGAGGTGGGGTGAGCTTGAGGGTATATATATAGCCTTGTGTGCTGGGATGCAAGGGTTTATGAGATTAGGGGATGTTGATTTGGAAGGAGTGTATAAGAGAATGGGGCAGACAGATGTATGTAGGAAGATTATGACGAGATTTATTAACTAGGATGAAGTTGGGATGGGAGGCTGAGTGTGCAGTTTTGATAGTCATTCTTGATGACTTGTTTCATGCTTTTTTACATTATTTTTAGCTTTTATTACATATGGAGAAAATCTAACTAGTGATGGCTTTCCATCTGCTGAACCTGTGAAAGAATGCCGACTGCCTGAGATCATTGTTATGTAGATGTTATACACATCTATTGGCATGGTTTCCTTGTTGCGTTCCTGACCTCTCCTCTGGAGGTGTACATATCAAATAAAATGTTGGTCAACTAAAACCTCTGCCATATAGGCATTAGGCAGCACTATGTGGGAGCCACATTCTACCCATCCCATGATAACCCTTCCTGCTCTTCTACTGAATTCCTACCATCATAAGCCAGAACCACAGCTGTTATCTTCCTATTTCCTTTTTCTCTTCCATCTTCCTGCCCTTGCATCCTTCAGCCATGACCAATGACTCCTGCTTTCCTCCACCTTAATATTGTGTTCTCACCATCCCAGTGTTCCTACATCATCAAGCCTTCCCCATTTCCATTTTATTGCTCTGTAGTCCATACAGTGGAAGTCACTAGCTCTAGCTGGGGCAAGGCACCATGTGTCTGGGAGCAGCACACAGCTTGCAGACTGTTTCAGAGTGGCTGATTTAAATGAGGTGATGGAAATGAGGATCCAGAAACAATCTTGATATGATATCCATATATGTTAATTACATACATGCTGTGAATCTTGGTTCATTGTCAAGTTTTTTGAAGATTTTTTTTATTAAAAGCACTCGAAGTATAGAACATTATTATAAGGTAAAACAGAGACAGAAATAATAACATCTGTGGTCCTTATTTGTAGACTAAGGAAGATCTATGCGATGCTAAATACCTGAATAAAAAACTGAAATCAGAAAATGAAGCTCTGCACCAAAAGTATGAACAAGTACTGGAAGAACAGCAGCTCTAGACTATAGAAAGAGATGAGGTAGTGGCAAAGTAGGTTTTACTCCTCAGCTCTTGAAGACAAATATTTTAAGTTTGTGATTTCATTACTAAGGCTTTTCTTCCTGACAGAGTGTCTAACTTACTTTTTTCTTCTGGTAGATCAGAGGAATTCTCTTTTTTATTGAAGAAAAAGTTCAGCTCGCTGGAAAATCGCAACGAAAAAGAAATGCCTAGAGAAAATAATTGAAAATCTTGAAGACACCCTACTGTATGTAATCTTTAAATACTGACAATTGTAAATGGTCTCAGTACTGTTTGCTCTTCACTTCAGCCAGTTAAAGAGATACTGAAATAAACATTCAGTAGGGAAGTTAAATGGGTTTGTAAACCGTACTAGTAGGCTGTTACGGATTTTCATAGAACAAAGCTGTTAGCTGCCAGTTAACCTAATTTGATCTGCAGTTTCTTATCACCAACCAATGAACCTACAGATGAAGAAGGGTACTGAAGCAGAGCAATATGTAAAACTTCACAAATAGTTGTGACTGTGAACTGTATACTGTGGTACCAGGTTTGGGACCAACCAACTACCTGTTTGTTATGGTGGTATCTAAGAAAATCTGCTTTTACTCAGCTAAATCTAGGAAGCACAGATTTGCCCTGTGCACAGAAGTGTTCATAAAAAGAAATTATTGTCTTGTGTAGTCTAAGCAGAACAGACTCCTTCTGCCCTATGAATTAGGGTATGGCTGGGAGGAGCATGGCCAGAGAACTACAGCTCTCTATTAGCCTGTAGTTGGTGGAAGATATTTGGGATTTTGATACAATAGGTGAGGACAAGCCTGTGTGTTCTGAGCCCAGATATCCTGCTTTGGATCCAGCTCCTTTATTTCCTAGAGAATCGGGAGAACAAGGCCTTATGTTGAACACTAATAATGAATTTCTGTCTTGTAAGAAGATTAATCCTGAAAGAAGGGAGAGCCTTTCTTTTTTTTCTCTGCTGGAGTATCATTCTTTGCAAGAGTAAGTTAACAGGTTCAGCCAATTAATCTTACACCCCTCAAACCTAGGAGAGCCAAATATATTCACACACTCTGCGTTTTGAGTGACACCAATAGTGCTGGTTCTGTGGAACTTTTTCACAGTGTGGCACTGAAGTGGCTGTGCTCCTAGGGTCTACCTGCTACTTAAATCCCCCTGAGGAATGATCTGTTATTGCAGAGTTGCCCTACTTATGGATATAATTATAATTTAAAAGTAAGAAAATAATCCCTCACCTCTGTTTTCATACTGAATGAGAAAACATACAACACATTTACTCTGCTTTGTAGGAAAAGCGTTCCCATCTTGATGAGTGTCTGAAAGAGATATTGTTGCCATGTAAATGTGGGATGAAAAAAAATAAGACCATGAGGTAGCCATACACAGCTAAGAAGGAGGTAGCCATGCACTGCTAAAGAGGAGGAAAATTTGTAATTAAAGGGCAACGGAGTCTACAGTATAAAACTAAGTTAACAAGAAAAGAGTGAAATTACCATTGCACAGGATCTTGATGCTAATTGGGTATCTACACTAATGATAGTAAATGAAAAATTTGTAAGAGCTTTCTCCCAGTGTCAGTCAGCTCTTAATTTCACGCTTTTAAACTAGACTACATGGAACTGTGCAAAATGCATTGCAGCTCTGGCCTCTTAGAAAAACTGATTGAAAACTCCCTTCCCTATCCGAGTCCCTATCCCTGTACTTTCCTATGTCTCTGTTTTTTGTTTGTGCATAATTATCTTGTTCTGTGCATTTTTACTGACTTCACAACATCCTTCTATATCAGACTCAAAATAATTCAATTTCAGTGTACATCACACAGACCTCGTGGTCACTTTAACAGGGCCACAACATTTGAAATCAAAATTAAGATCTCATGTTAATTTAATTTTGTCTGAAAGTAATATGCAATGTATTTAGAATCTTACCATTCATTTTACAAGATTGGCCAATTATTTATTTCTTTAATGAGCAATTTCAAATTAAGTCAATCAGACATCATTCAAAGAGGAGACTCTTGAGTTAATTAAACCCACTGAACTGAGAAACCCACCAAACTGACAAAAGTGAATGTAGTTTCAGAAAGTATGAAATAGAAGTATAATTCTTCAGGGGTTTCTATGAATTATCTGAGACATATTCTGCAAGTAGTAAATTATTTTGCAGTGCTGGCTTGATACATTTAGCATTGCATTTACAGCAACAAAACCTTTGGAAGAAAGCTCCATACTTTCTCTTTGTAAAGCCACGTGGGCTTTGGAGTAGATGCTTCCCACCGCAGTTCTGTCTTGGAGTGAGTGTCACTGGTTTCATACTGCCAACCTTTTATTGTTGAACTCTCCTACAACGGGTGGAATACACATAAAGTTCATTCATTTTTTTATTTATCACATATAATATACTAGAAAATACATACTAAGAAATTAAAATAAATTGATTTGTCCATCTTGTCATAGGTTCTGCTTCTGAAAATACTCTTTTGTAGTAATTGCTACTAATACATTTGAACAGTTGTTAATTTCCGTAACATCTGGTTTTGTCTATTGCACTATTTTATTGCTTCTGGTTTGAAAAATATACTCCTGTATTTGCCTTGATTCCTAACAAAAGCCTCTTCATTTTAAACTGATGTTTCCAACATAATGTGCTAGCACGCTATAATATGTGTAGGTTTTTGAGATGGGACCCATAGGTACCATATTGCCTCTCTCCAAGTAGTGCAAGTGCTTAGCACGTTGGTCAGTGGAAAGAAAATTTTGGAAAACTGTACTAAAATTTTGACATAAAGTAAACACTCTCCAAGTCTTTAGCATTATTTCTCAAAGTTTACTTTCCTCCCCTCCCTCCTTCCCCCCAGAAATATCAAGAAGAGCTATGCAGAACAGCTGGCATCTCTAGAGCAAGATTTGATGGCAGAAAATAAGACAAGGTAGGACAAACTAGAAAGTTTGCACTATATCTTTAAAACAAAGCAGTGAATTAATTAATTACTGCATCTTGGTGTTGCTATTACATCAGAGATATAAAACCAGAGCCTTACTATGTAAATATTCAGTGATATAATGGCAAATAAAAGCATATCTCTTCAAGTAGATCCATGGTTTCATTTGAATTTAATTGCTTTATTGCCAAGTGGTAAGAACCACTCAACTTATTATATAAGTGGCTTTTAATCATCATGACAGCAAATATTTCACCGACTTTATTTTATAAGCTATCTGGGATTTTCCCAGGATATGTACACTTACATAAACTGTAAAACTGTGGGGTTTGGGGGCTTGTTTTGTTTGGTTTGGCATGGGTTTTTTTTTTCCATTCATTTATTCAATATTTATTGTTATTATTAAATTCAGTTAATGTTCATTGGTAGCTGATTCTGCACTTTTGAGTCAGTGAGAACTTTGTCACTGAATTCAGTGATAAAAAATTAAGTGTCCACAGCTCCAGCTGGAAGTATGGTGGTTTTGTTGCTGAGCACCTTTCAAAATCAGGTCATTAGACTGGTGGTATCTGGAGTTCCAGATGTTATATAGACAAACCCTTTGACAGGGTCAGTAAGAATGAGATAACTTTGCATTTTCAGTAATTCAATCTTTCTTCTTTGGACTTACTTATTTTTCACTAGTTTAGCTGTGTCTTCTACTGTATCTGTCTTTTTAAGAAGTCTTTGGAAAGAATTGTAAGGACCATGTTACACAAAGGTCACAAAAAAACCTGGGGTTTATTTTATCTATATTCAGAATATCCACTATGAAGTAGTTCATATATACACATGTCTACCCGCAGTGAGGTACCTATAGAAAAAGCCTAGAGTCAGATAAATCTAAGTGAATGTTTGATATAAAGCTTTTCTGCTAGTTTTGAATTTCTCTGTAACTGCCAGATTTTGAATGCAGCTCTTGGAGGTCTGCTCATACTGTTTGTCTAAATCAGGGGTTTGTATCTAGTTTTTGAGGTGTTATCATTCCACACCAGTATGGAGATACCTTCTTTTCAAAGCATTGAGACCTATATACTTGATAGGGGCTTTTTTTTTTTTTTTTCTTCCATGAATACCTCTACTTTATTATTGGAAAGGTGAAAAAGTGGAAAGAGTGCTTAGCCCTCTGCAGTTGATAGGATACTCTCAAAAATAAAATCATGGCCTGCTCAGCTACTTCAGACTATCTCTGCAGCTCTGATTTCTCATTTGATTATTCTGTCATGTAAGATGTAGAGATATGGAGATTTCTTGGTCATCTAGTCCAGTCTGGTTCTCCCCTAAATACTACATCATACTTTAAACTTTGAAAAACCCAAACATGTTCAATCCAAAACCCTATAGTTGCTTTCCTCCCCTTACTCTCACTAATATGTCATTCTAAAATCTCATTCTTTTGATGTCTAAAAACATTTTTTACTGACTTCCAGTCTGCATTTTCACATAGACAAGTGTGCCTTTTTTTGGTTTTATATGTGTTGCCTTTTATCATTTTCACAATTTACAAACACTGGGGTTTTATAGACACAAAATCTTGTCCTTCACAGCCTTCCAATTTGCTAAGCTAAATTAACCAGATTATTTGGTCCAGACTTTTATTAACTAATTTTAGGCACTTAAGTGAGACTAGTCACTTTAAGAATACTCCTCCATGTTCAATAAAAACAGAGAGACACTTCAAAAGGTTTTTATGTATTTTTATGCATCTCCTAGATATTGTCAGGATCGCAGCCAACTGATTGTAGTCCTGAAGTTACAGAAAATATGTCTGAGTCTTCTGATCTCTTAAATTAAGCTTGTAGTGCTCCTGAGAATTTGTATCTCTTCTCTGTTTTTCTCCCAAATTCAACTTATTCCTGCTTATGTATCTGTCACCAGAGTAATATTTCAGTGGAAACTACTGTACTTACCAATGCAGAGAGAACTCTTCTTCTCAGCAGAAGAGAATAGAAGCAGAAAAGTGAATGAAAGAATAGAGGCTGGTAAAAAAAGGCATGTTGAACTACTTGCAGAGGTATGTTAAACAGCAGGTATTATAACCTATTACATCTAGTGTTATGTGCATTCATGCTATATGTAATAACAGTAAACTGTTACCTAAGTAAATGAACTCCAAGGGCCAATTTTTTGTAAGCTACTAAACATGATATCAGATCTAAAGATCTTCAATATCTAAAGATCTAAATATCTCCATTCTTGGAGATATTCAAAAGCCGTTTGGACATGGCCTTGTGCAGTCAGCTCTAAGTGGCCCTTAGAACAAGATGACCTCTAGAAGTGCCTTCCAAGGTCAACCATTCTGTGATTCTATAATCTGACTTTAACACCTATTAATAACAATTTAAAGGTGATTATTTATCTTAGAAGATGTTATGTCTTGAATGCCGATTGGTCTCATTTTGCACTAATTGCTTGTTTCTGGGTGGTCCAGGTAGACACTATATATTTCAGAAATCACTGACCTTCATTTTGCTTTCCATGGTGAGATTGAAAACCTTGAGGAAGAGATTTTTCAGTCTGAGAACCAATTCAAAGCCCTGAGTGAAGAAGCAAGTAAAAAGGAAAATGATTACAAGAATTATAACAAAGATTTTGCTAACAAAATAAAATGTCTGGAGGTAAGTTCTGTTGTTCTTTTTATCAACCTTGGGAAGATCTCTGATGGATGAATTGGCAATGTTTGTTGCACCTTGTTGCAGCTATGCTCATTGGAGTTATGTTAAAATGTATTCCATGTCAGTAACTGTTTCAAGAAAATTTTGTGCTTTTCAGGTTGGCCTGGTTTCTTCTTGTGGGTTTGTTTTTGGGTTTTGGGGGGGTTGTTGTTTTGTGTGGTTTTTTTTTTTTTTTTAATAATGCTCACAAGAACTTAAAACGTTCAGGTTGAGACACTGTGTCCTGGGTTTAACAGTAGCAGTCATTTTTCTCCTTCTTGGTAGCTGGTGCAGTGCTGTGTTTTGACTTTCGGCCTGGGAACAGAGCTGGTAACAATAATGTTTTGGTTTGGCCAAGGACTTTGTGAGCCTCATGCTCTGCCAGGGAGGAGGGGAATCTGGGAGGAAGCAGAGGCAGGACACCTGACCCAAACTGACCAAAGAGGTATTCCATACCACAGCACGTCATGCCCAGGATGTAACTCGCAGTTACCCAGAAGGGCTAGGAGACTGCAGGGTTGGAGGAGGTATGGGTCGGTGCTTGGTTGGGCTGGGGAGGGAGTTACCGGTTGGCTGGTGGTGAGATGTTGTGTTCTCTTCCCTTGTTATTTCCCTTATCTTTATTATTCTTGATGGCAGCAGTAGTGATTTGTGTTATACCTTAGTTATTAAACTGTTCTTATCTCAACCCGTGGGAGTTGCATTCTTTTCAATTTTCCTCTCCATCCCTCTGGGAGTAGGGGGAGGGCAAGAAAGGGGGGAGTGAGTGAAAAAGCTGTCTGGCTGGGTTTAAACCACAACACACTGTAATCATTAAACAACCATATATGTATATGCACTTATATATTCATGTACCTATGGGCATCTATGTCAAAAGAATAGAGAGCAGGTGTTTCTCAGAAGGGGTGACTCCAATTTTAGAATAAAAATTTGTGCAGGGCCAGATTCAGTTGTGAGATAAATCCTATTTAGCTTTGGAGTGAGCCTTTCAGTGTGTAACCTATTAATGTAGAATGTGTTTCATCATATTCTCAAAAACATTCTGGTTTTGAGTAAACAGGCCAGCAGTCATGGCAATATGACAGCTTGATTTTAGACCCTGGTCAAGGTCTCCTCTGAATTGCTATTGTAAATCTATCATGGTGACTGGTGGTGTGCAAGGTGTAACCCAGGGCTACTTAGTGTCAACATTCTTTAAAACACTGATGAGCTTTCTTTACCAAAGAAAGTAGGGTGCTGAAATGCTGTATATGAATTTCTCAGAGCTGTCAAGGTTTTCTAGCACTTCTCTGGTCTTTGGGATATAGTATATGCTCTATCCCCAGGAAACTGCTGGACTCTTGTTCAACAGTCTGATTTGAGATAGGATAAATCAAATGTCAGGAGTGTAAGAAATATCCTCTTTGTATGTCTGACCTTAGAAAGGCAGATTTACAGAAGGCCTTGAGGATTTTTCTCATTTTGCTCATTAGTGAGAGGTTATGCTCCCACATTATGCAAGATAGTTATGGTCATGTAACTGCTCAGGCTTCCCTATAAATCTGAAGGCTGAGACTGTCCCTGCTAAGTAAGCAGCTGTGCTGGGTTCATTCTCATGCTCTTTCTGGCAGTTAAGCTATGCAGTATATGCAAAAGAAATGCTAAATATACCTTGATACTTTTTCTCTGTCTTTTATTAATATAGTCCATTCTAAAAGAGTTTTTCCCCCATCTAAAACAGTGCTGGTAAAACTGCTATGGGAGAGTTGCCCTTTCCTTTGTGGCCTGGACAGAGACAGGCTGAAAAGGTGATTGTAACTCTTTGTTTTCATTTAGTGACACACTCTGAGATATTCTCCTTTGTTAGCTGTTTCCTAATTTGCTTTCATTTCCTACCATTTTGATGAAGCAATTCGTGTTACTTTTTTTTTTTTTTTCTTCCCAGTTTTCTTTCTGGAGCTTTTAGTATTTTCATGCACTTGCTCTTCACTATTTTTATCTGCAAAATGATTCCCTCTGAATGCTCTCTCATGAAGGTGGCCTGGGTAAGAGGAATAAATTCCTTTACAAGAGTCATGTCAGTTTAGGTTGCTTTGTTTGGAGTACCATGATGATGCATGAGATCAAAGGAGTACACAGAAATGGGACTCAGATCACCTTTCCTTCTCTGCCTTCTTCACATACCTGTTTCTACTAAGGAAATAATTTCTTCTGCTCTTCTGCATATTTTCCAGGGTTTTTTTCTTTCTTTTTAGCCACTCTTCTGCTACAGCCCTTTAAAAAAAAACAAAAAACAATAAATATATAAATGAACCTATAATAAGGTTCATGAGCTGTATTTCTATACTTGGAGGTTTTCTGATAATTCTAGTCTTTGATCACTGAAGTGATACCTGACTTCAAAGCCTGAGAAGGACTAAAAATGTATAGTGCTGCATTTGACATTACTGTCCTGTAGAGAAGTGAGTTCAGAGTCATGGTGTTACTTCACAGCCTGGGCTTCAATGCATTTCTTTGTATGGCTTTAGTTCCTGGATATCATCTTGTCCCTCTCTTAATATTTTTCTTCAAGTCTCCCAGTCTATGTGGGTTGTTCCTGTTCTCCATTTCTGTGTCTTCACCTATTGCTGCAGAAGAGTACACATGTATTTTTCCAGTGAAAGTCCTTTAACTAGTGTCTTGTGTTTTATTGGCCCTAAGATGATGTTCCACTGTGCTGAAAAATGCATATATATCAAATTAGATTTGTTTTGTTTTAAAAACAAAGGTCAGATATTTTTTAAAGGTAAGGAAGGAGACAGAGAAAGATTAAAAGGTACAGTGTTTTAGTCATGTTTAGGTGATGATCTGCTTAGTCTTTAAGAGCTAATTCTTTTTCTCCATACTGATGTAAGAGTACAAATATTCCCAGGCTGGTAAGTCTGTGCAGCCCTGCTGTAGGGTGATGTAGGTTTCCGACCCTAACTGTTCTATGATTCTATGATGTACAGCTCAGATCCAGAACCATTGCAGTTAATACAATGTATTAACTACATTTAATATAATATATTAAACAAACATTAGTATGATTGAAAAAATATGCCTATGGCTGGGCATGGAGCAATAATATGAGACAGGCCAAGCTACAAAATGACATGGTAATAGGAAAGGACATGTAGCATAATGTGAAAACACTCCATGTTTGTCATAAGACAATGAAATATTTATTTTGCTTCACTGATGGGTCAGCAGAATCAAATGCCTAACATATGAATGCTACCATCAGAAAATTAAAATCTCAGGCAACAATAGGGAAGGAAGTAATTGGCAAGCCTACCTAGAGAACTCTGATACCTTTGGATCATCTGAGTCTAATGAAATTCACCTGCAGGTAGTGAAGCTGCTGAAGCAATTTCAGAACTGCTCATGATTGTATTTAATTGAACACCAAGAATAGGTAAGAGAAGCTTAAATCAACTTCATTTCCCAAAATAGCTGTACTGGGTAAGACAAAATGTTGGTCCTGCCAGTATCCTGTCTTCTATAGTGATCAATAGTCTTGCTTGAAGAAGTAATGTAAGAACAGCCAAATATAGAATGACCCTTCTTCTGTATAATCTCCATGACAAATGAAGTGTCAGGAACTTCTTTGGATGGAGATGGTATCTGCATTTAATAGCTTTTGATGGAATTTTGTGCCTATGCTGGATCTTCAGTGCAATATTCTGCTATCACTGATTGATTCTTTTAGCTCACATATGCATTTAGCCTCCATAAACCTATAGCATATCATTTATTTAATAAAGACAGTAGTTTTCTTTTGTTTGAAACCTACTATCTCAAAAGTTTATTGGCATCTTGCTATTCTTGTGTTATGAGAAACAGTGAGTAACTGTTGTCTTCTCATTTTCTCCAGCAAAGGTGTGTGGATTTTATATACCTTTATTGTATGTCCCTTCAGTTGCTGCTTTTTCAGGCTAAGAATCCCAGGTACAAAACCAGTTGGAAACATCATCAGAGATAATAGTTACCCATGCTTTACTGACAAAATAAAATAAGGGTCCCTGTTAGATTGTGAGAGGTCTGCTTTCACTGGAATTTGTCTGTTTTTTCCTTATTGACTCAGGTGATTGATAATGTACAGCGACTGCTTAACATAACTGTACATGATAAACATTATAAGAGTGGGAGTGCCCTCTGCAGGGCAGAACTAGACTTCAGAGTTATTTTTGCAAGTTGGAGAAGTAATTTGAGTGAAAAAAGGTTTTAGTAATAATCATCATTATCATCCGTATTTTTCTGTTTAGGTGGAAAGAGTTGTCTGTACAGTTCTATCACGAGTCAGATATTTATGATAAATAGAACTAAAGCTGAAAAGTTGAACATAAGTCAACAAAGATTTGTTGTACTGAAAAAGGCAATCCTCAAACCAGTTTGTGTAGAAAGGCCGATACCCTGGCAAGGTTTATGGTGTATGTTCTCTACTCTAGCTGGTTTTGGTAGGACACAGCTGGAATACAGAGTCTGGTATTGATCACCTAATTTAAAGGAGGATATGGGTTATTCTGAGACCCAAGAGGAGTTCAGTAAAGATGATCAAAAAACAGTTGAAGAAATTCACAGCTTTTCCAAGACATGTCAGTAAGCACCAAATAAATAAAACTTCTTAGCAAGATATAAGCCTTTCTCTCTGTCTACTTGTTGAGACAAATAACAGGGAATGGAATAGATTTAACTTAAGAGAAAGGCTTTAAAAAGCACTGACAGCACAAATAATAAACCCAGGGAATCAGTTGTCTGAGTCATGGTAGCACTGCCACTGGGGTTTTTAAGGACAAATTAAACATCTGTGTGGACTTTTAGGTCTAATTGATTCTGCTGTAGGGCATAGAGAAGGACTAAGATGACCTCTTGGGATCACTTTCAGTATTTTTTTCTCTGTTTTGTTTTGTTCTCCCTCGCACCCCCCCCCAGATATGTTAAAATATTAATGCATTAAATGTTGTTTAGATAGATTGTTGATTAATATTTAGTTTCATTAAAGAATTACATAAAAAATGCAACTGAAAATCTACTTAAAAAAGAACAAGAATTAAACACAAGCAAGCTAACATTGGAAGAAGCCCAGACAGAAACAGAAGAGAAGCATTCAAAATGTGAAGACCTGAACAAATCCTTTTTAGGTAAGTATTAAGTATCTCCTCTACATTGTGGAGCTTTCTCTTGTTTCCAAAAACAGTGTGCCATAACCGTATGTCTGCCTATGGCTTTGGTGAACTGTGAAACACATATAAATTGAGTTCTTACCAACAACTGGAATCTATAGGCCTGGCCATAACAGGAAAATAAACCATTTAAGAAAAAAATAAGAGTGACTTAAACAAGTCACTAATAGAATCTAATTTTATTTGTAACACTTTAATGTTTAATCATAACATCATCTAAAAACCATAGAATGGTTTGGGTTGGAAGAGACCTTAAAGATCATCCTGTTCCAATCCCCCTGCCACAGGCAGGGGCACCCTCCACTAAACCAGGCTGATCAAAGCCCCATCCAACCTGGCCTTGGACACTGCCAGGGACTGGGCAGCCACAGCTTCTTTGTGCAACCCTTTCTCTGCCTTGTAGAAAAGAAAGATGAAGAAGTACGAGCCACAAGAGCCATTCAGCAGTCAATCAAAACTCCTGGGAAGCTCAAGAAGGACATGATAATAACTTATTGTAGTACTTCTGCAGAGTTTCTACCACCAGATTTATTTCCTCCTGGTAAAGACCAGCCACCCATGGAGACTGGGACCAGGGAAGACAGGCTGGAACCTTACCTTCCTCTCTGTTGCTATGCTCCCATCTGGAGGGTGGCTGAGACTTCAGCTCAGCCTATAACCCAGAATTTATATCAAGCTGCCCTTCTGCTTGATTTTGCATTCCTTAGACACTTGAGCAAGTCAAAAAGAAGCTGGTGAACTGGGGGCATTTGTAAACCTGCTTCAGTTCAGGTTCTTGCTACTGCAAAGGCAGGAATTTCTGCTACTTTAGTAACTCATATTTGAAAAACTTTTCTGTAGCATTGCCTCTTTACCTGTATTTCTCATTTCTGACGTAAGGCATTCAATCAGCACCAGTGTGAAGAGAATAAAAATGGTATAGCTGTAGGGGTAGTTACAATAGTTCAAAATGACTGAAGCTGGGCTGTACATCCCAGGCTAACAATCAGATTGCTTTTCCTTCCTGTTTCTTTGCCAGAACAAAAATTTATGGGGGAAAGGAACATATTTACACCTTCTGCTGCTACTAGGAAGAATTAAAGTGTCTCTAGTTACTGAGAAGCATAGGACAAGATGAATAAACTACATAAAGCAATCTTATGAGGCTGGTCAGATGCAGGCTTCATGCCCCAGTGGTCTGTTTAGAAAAGGGAGACCTGTTTCTCCAACCATATTAGAATAGAAATAGCACAACAAAACAGTTGTGTACACTTGAGCCTCAGGTGACAGAAAAATTATGCTCTTGCCATTGGTTGACCCCGCAGCAGAAAGGTCACTTCATGTCAGAGCTGATTCATTTCTTGTGGACCGTAAGCAATTGATTCCCCACTCTGTGTCTCTTTCTCCTCACTGGTAAGAGGGCTGTCTCAGATGGCACTTTGAAATCTCACAATGAAAGCTGCCACATAACAAAAACTCTTTTCACTTTATTTAATTACAAAATCCTATATAAAAATCTGTTATCAGTGAAGAGTTTATTATTAACAGCTGGAGCTGAAGAATAAATTGTGAATGAAGAATGATGCTGCAGTCAGCCAGTTGAAAAATCACACAAAGACTATGAAGCTCCTAGAACGAGACATCTATGAGATCAACAGGAAAACTGACATTGTGTACACTGAGAACTGCAGGTTCAAATTAGTGAGTATATTCAAGCTTGACAGTGCTCCTTCTCAGAGTATTCATTTTTCATTTCGCAGAGAACTGGCCATGGAAGATGATAAAACATAGACATTGCAAGGCAAACCTGGCCTTTTAAGTGAATGTGGGGGTGCTTCATTTGTAAGGAAGCAAAGAGGAATATCCAAGGGCAAGGCATCTACCTGAGGCATAATCAATATACTATACCTGCTGCACTGAGGCACGGATTGTAGGAAAAGGCCCTCCTGCTTGTGTGAAGAGGCCCAAGATGAGCAAGAGATGTAGAATAGGCCTCTGCAATTTGGAATTGAAAATATGGCTTTTTAAAATATTCCATATACCTTTCAGGCCCTAGGCTATCAGAGTAGTAGAATCTCCTTCCCTGTAAAATACATGAAGCAAAAATGGTCTTAGTGCCTGCTGTTATCAGGCAGCAATCCAGACCCGGACTCATGTTTGTGCAGCCACATGGACTATATTTCTGAGATGATCTGAACCCTGTGCACTGTTTGCTCCTGCAAGCACAGAGCTCTGCTGCTGCAAGGGCAGATGCCAGAGTCTATGTCTGCTAGCACTGCAGGTGCTACATACCAGATACTCTGCAGCTCTATCGGATTATACCCTTATGAAAAAAAAAGGCTTCCCTGCAGGAAGAAAACTCATGGTTATGCTACAAGGACCCCTCTTCTCATGTTCAATTCACTAAGAGAAGCTGAGGTGCTCTGATTTTCCGACACCTATATTGCACCAGGGAATGCTCTTTACTGTGCCTGACATGGGCCATCTGACACGTTTCAGCCAAACCTGGGACACAACCAGGTGGGTACTCGTAGGACTGATCCAATGTAAATGAGTCCATCCTATTCTGGGCGAATGAGTAAGGAAGAGTTTCCCTGTTGGCATACACCCTGTCCTGCTCTGGCTGTTCCCAGTATCCTCATCCATTCTGTTTGGTACCACAAACATAGCTGGCTTGTGTTGAATTTGGCAACTGTTAAAATTTGTTAAAGATGAAATGAATGATGTTGTAGAAAGAAAACGTGTCCAGAGGAATACATTAACCTTTGTATTTCCATAAGCTAATATTCAGATTATTCTTCTTGATCTCTCTAGAAACAGTAAAACTGTTTGGAAATGATTGGCAAGTGTTCGGTAATAATTATTTTTTTTCCCCCCAGCGCACTGCACAGATGGAAGAAGATATTTTTGCAGTGAATTCTGAAGCAGAAAAACACAAGTCAGCAATAGGCAAAATCCTGAAAGGCATGCCAGTGCTTCACGGTAACATATTAGTAACTATTTTGAAACAAAAGAGTTACATGGTTTGAAGAATATCCTTCAGTCCTTTTGTCTTATTTTTGGCACAGCAATTTACCACATTTTAACTGCTAGCTCTGTTGAAGATCATCTTCAGAAAGAGGAGAGCTTTACTCAAAATGTAAATTCCAGTTTTCTATTGTGCTGGTTTGCTTAAATATATTTTGCATGCCATATTAAAAAAGTGAAATTGCATTTTGCAACTAAGCCATTACAGTCTTTGAAGTCATACAGGGCAAGGTGTTAAACCTATGTTTTCCAGCATTTTAAGAAAGTTCTGGCTATAAAAATAATTTTTCCTGGTATTTTTCCTTTTGCTGGTCTTATATTCAAGCCTTTCTTAAACTTGTACCTGGTAACACTCTTGCTGCTCTACATTTAGTTCATTGGCCTGTAATATTTTTCCAGTTGGGGATGGCCAAGGATGGCCTTCATTTTGAACAGGAATTAAAGCAAATAATCATGTAAGAAAGTTTTTCACCAGTTAGAAAAGCAAAACTTTGGGTTTTCTTATGCAAGGATTGGTTAGTTGATGAAAAACCTCTTGCAGAGCTACAGGTCTGGTGGCCAGCCAGGCTGTGGGAAACCGAAACAGGGTTCTTGACATTTTGTAAGGTTCTGGTGGGGTGTTTATGTTTGGTTTGGGAGAGGGTTTTTTGTTGCTGTTATGATTTTTTTTTGGGGGGGGGGTCCTTTGTGAAAAAAGAAAAATTCTGTTCTGTGTCATTACAGGAATTTCTGAAGGATGAGCAGGAACTACTGAACACAGTGACAGCTCTAACAACAGAAATTCAGCAGCGAGATGAAAAGATTGGTGATATTAATAGCAGGCTGCAAAATAAGCTGGAAGGACTGGATTCTCTGCTTGTCCTAAAATCTAAACTGGATGATCACAATAAAATAGACTAAACTTTTTCTTTTCCACTTTCTTTTTCTTTTTTTTTTTCTTTTTGTTGTTTTTTTTTTTTTTTAAATCCCAGAACGTGTTAATTCTCACCACTTTGCAATAGAGACCCTGTATCCAATCACCGTGCTGCAGATTGAGATCTAGTGGTACATTTATTAGCACATTGTATCCAATCACCATGCTGCAGATTCAGATCTAGTGGTACATTTATTAGCAGAACTAGACATGCTTTATAACAGCCTGGATATTATCATCTTTTATCTCCACTTTGTAATGGATTGTGATAATAACAGTGAGGGAGCTGTAAAACAGTCTGAGCATCATTGATCTTTCCAGAACTTTTTTTTGTGTTTGCTTTTCCACAAAGGATACATAAAACTAGCAGACCTTCAACTTCCACAGCTTGTGGTTGCATGGGTATTGTTGTAGGACTATATGATAATTAATGTTTATGTTCTCTAGAATTTTACACAGAATCATAGAATAGTGTCCTGGTTTAAACCCAGGCCATAAATCAGAACCATGCAGCCTACTCCCTCCCCCCAGCCCTTTCTTCCCCCCCTCTCCCAGGGGGATGGGGAGAAGAAGTGAAAAGAATGTAACTCCCATGGGTTGAGATAACAACAGTTTAGTAACTAAGGTGTAACACAAACCACTACTGCTACCACCAATAATAATAATGATAAGGGAAAAGGGAAGAGAATACAACACCCCACCACCCGCAGACCAATACCTCACCCCACCCAGCAGTGATCTAGCCTTTCCGGGTAACTCTCAGTTACCTCCTGGGCATGACGTGCTGTGGTATGGAATACCTCTTTGGCTAGTTTGGGTCAGGTGTCCTGTCTCTGCTTCCTCCCAACTTCCCCTCCTCCCTGGCAGAGCATGAGACTCAGAAAGTCCTTGGTCAGAGTAAACATTACTGAGCAGTAACTAAAACCAGTGGTGTTATCAGTGCTGTTCCCAGGCTGAAAGTCAAAACCACAGCACTGCACTGTTGGAGAAGTTGCACAGAAGGAGAGAAAATGACTGTTACTGCTGAACCCAGAACAAACAGTTTGGGTTGGAAGGGATCCACAAAGCTCATCTAGTCCAACCCCCCTGCAATGAGCAGGGACATCTTCATCTAGATCAGGTTGCCCAGACCTACATACAGCCTGGTCTTAAATGTCTCCAGGGATGGTGCATCCACCGCCTCTCTGGGCAACCTGTACAGGAGTTTGCCACCCTCATTGTAAAGAATTTCTTCCTTGCATCCAGCCTGAATCCCTCATCTTTTAGTTTAAAACCATCACCCCTCATCCTATCACAACAGGCCCTGCTAAAAAGCCTCTCCTCATCTTTCTTATAGGCCCCTTTTGAGAACTGAAAGGCTGCAATTAGGTTTCCCCGACAAGGGCAATTTGGATTGCCCTTTCCATTTAAACAAACAGTATTCTATTCTCTGGTCTTGGAGAGGGGGGATACTACACAGGGGCCCTAGGTATATACAAATCACTTGCTTTGGAGCCTGCTTTTAACTCAAATGCTATAGATACAGAATCATAGAATAACTAAGGTTAACTAACTAGGGTTGGAAAGGACCTTAAGATCATCAAGTTCCAACCCCCCCGCCATGGGCAGGGACACCTCACACTAAACCATGTCACCCATGGCCTCGTCCAACCTGGCCTTGAACACCACCAGGAATGGAGCATTCACAACTTCCCTGGGCAACACATTCCAGTGCCTCATCTCCCTCACAGTAAAGAACTTCCTTGTTATATACAATCTAAACTTCCCCTGTGTAAGTCTTACCCCGTTACCCCTTGTCCTGTAACTACAGTCCCTAATGAAGAGTCCATCCCCAGCATCCCTATAGGCCCCCTTCAGATACTGGAAGGCTGCTATGAGGTCTTCACCTGTTGATTCACAGAGGTCTTGCCTGTAACGAGCCACAGGTTTGGTCACAATATGACCATTGTCTTGTTACAGAATGTGTTTTTTATACCTATTACAGCTGAAAGGCCACAGCATACAGGCTACTTCAAAATCATTGGGTCTGGGAAATGTGACAGGAAATCAGGGAGAGGAATGATGAATTTATAGAGGAAGGGAATGCCCTGGAAGGAATTCAAGCTGAGAGGGAAAGGATGGTGAGCATACAGGAAAGAAGAATCCTGCTTCAGCTGAAGCTCCAGTATTATTTTCTGTGTGCAAAGGGCAGGGCAGGTTTCTCCACAAGAAGCCTGCACAAAACCATTGCTTGGTTATTCCAAACAGCATGCATTTATACGTCTGCACCTGCCTTTGGCTGCCATTACTTTTTTATTTTCTTTTTTTTTTAATGTTATTGAGAGAAGCTGATGAAAGTGTTTATTAATTAGTATTCCACATTGCATGTTTTGCTCAATGACAAAGTGCTGGAGCCTGGCAAGAAGGTCAGTGTTTGGGTATGATATGCAAGCTCCATGGGGTGCACTGCCCATAAGCTCTGCTTTTACGAGTCCCTCATCCTACAGCCTTCAAAATTAACATGGGATTCTCTACTTAGCAAAACATTTATTCCTTGCTACAGCTAATGTTACCTGGGATGAGTTCTTACTTTTCTTTTTAAAAGCAAGATACAGTCCAACATTTAACCCCACATATTGCACATAAAAATGCACAGTCCTTAGTGCTGCACCTTTGCAAAAGTTTTTTCCTGCATGGTGCTGCACTGCCTGTTCACATGCACTGTACTGATGGGAAAGCTGTGCAAATGTAGGCACAAAACTGGCTAGGATATTTTAAAAGAAAATACGCCTATGAGTCTGTCAGTTATGGAAATGGTATTTTAACACAAGTTTTAAAACCATACTTTTAGAACTGTCTTCTAGATTAGCATGTCTTTTATGCAAAAAAGATCACATATTGTAAGTAGCAGTATAGACAGCATTCGATTTCCTTAAGGAGATCAATTACTTCCTTAATCCCTAGATACAACCTTACTTCTGCATGCAAGACCTAGTTCTTAGAAGCAATGAACCCGTCAATTGTTATTTCACAGGGAAAAAGCCATCAGGAAAGGCTTATCCACTGTAAGGGAATCAAAACCTCCTGTGGAGAAAGAGGAGAGCGACATCTCGAGGCAGCCTGGCCAAGATGACACACTTCAATGCCCCTGAGCTGGGAGCAGGGTCTGTCATTAGCAGTGTTGACATGCAATAGAATAAAAAAAGGCATTACGGTCATGGTTAAATATAGAAATGAACAGTGTTATTTGCAAATCATCTATGCATTCGGAAATGTTTAGATTGAGATCTTCCTATTGCTCTTTCTTCTGTGTTTAGACCTTCAGTATAGTTCTGCATCTTCCTTTAGATCCTCTATGGCACTACACCACTGGTGACTAATATACAGGATACGTGCTTTGGTTATCTTGCTGTACAATACAGAGAAAAGACTGATGTCTGGCAGTGGAAACCTGGCTTCAACAAAGCCAAGAGCTCGTTTTTTAACAGCTTCAGAAGCTCTAGCAATTCTTATTTACATGAATATTTTGATGAATGTAGACCAGATGTAATGGTATCTCTTGAAGGAAATAAGGAATCTGTAATTCTTTTTATTAAATCTGCTGGTTTTGTACTTTTAACCATCCCAACAGTTTTTGTTGCTGCAGCAGTGACACAGCATAGAGCTGTTCCTTTCTCAGCTGCTGATCTCCACTCCTCTCCAACCACTGCCGTTGCTATAGTGTGGGTACAGCTGCACTATACAGCAAAAGATGCGAGCTGTTGGCACCACCAATAAATGATAAAACAGGCATGAAGCACACACACAGGAGGAAGCTAGGGGCTCTGTTGAAAGGGGCAGAAGCAATCCTACCCGTACATAGGTAACAGATGCATCACAGTTTTCCTGGTAGTTGTCAGCAAATAAAATCATTAGTACAATCTTAGAAGGAAATTTATAGTCAAGGTAAATGAAAACGGAGTTTATGGGAAGAATACTACCATTTAATCATTTCCATGAAGTACACAGACCATAATTTTATAGGGAATTTAAAAAGGCATTTCCTCTCTTTCTACCTTCCATCATAAGGAATCATGCTCAATGTGTTCTATTTTTTTATGGAAGGAAAAGTATTTCCACTGGTGGAGTAGACGATGAGAAAACAGCACTATTGTTTCCTATTGCTCTTCCTTCTGTGTTTAAATCTTCAGTATAGTTCTGCATTTTCCTTTAGACCCTCCATGGCGCTACACCACTGGTGACTAATATACAGTATACACGCTTTGGTTATCTTCCTGTACAATATAGAGAAAAGACTATTTGTTTCATTAAAAGTCTACTGAAACCTCTACATTTTATTCAAACACTACCTAAAATACTGTATTAAGAAACAAACACATACATGCAAATCCCTATACTAGAATGTGGCACAAGCTTTTTATACAGATTCACAGTGATAAATAGATACAAGGACATTCCCTTCCATCTATACCAGATACTTAAGAACACAAAGTGCAGCTTTTTTTGTATTCTCCAGTCTCATTCAGGTGTTTCACGTAGAAGTCTGGTTCATAAATAACTTCTAAAACAGAAGTTTCCAAAACATAACAAGCTTAATTAAGCTCGCTTTATTAATTAAGCATTGCTTAATTCAGATCATCTGGACAGTGGTTTTGGCACAGGCTCCTTTCAATGTCCATTTCCACCTTCCGAGAGTATGCGTGATGGTTCAGTGTACTTTGCTGTCAGCAAGTAGAAGAGGGCAGGTGCAGGTACCAAGGCAAGCAATGGCAAGTCCTGCTCAAGCTTATCCAGTTTGGAAATTGAGATGATTCCATAGGCATGAAGTAACCAGTGGCTGAAGAGAACAACAAGCCTTTTCTTCCTCACAAGAAGATCCTTGAAAGACTTGCAAAATAAACACAGTACCTTGTTAGCATTCATACCCTTACCTAGTACCTGATGTTTAACAGTGCTATATAGGCAGCACAGAGACTGCATGAGCCTCTTGGGTTTGAGCCCTTCCCACACAGAACAGTTCCTCAGTGCACCACAAGAGGGAAGTCTCGCAGGAGCTTCCTCCAGCTCAGAGAAGTCTTAAAGAGGTTTAAAGGCAGAATACACAGCTGAGAAAAGGCAAGAGACAAAGCGGTCTCTCCTCAAATTCAAGTATTTTGTAGTTTATTAACACAGGAAACATGTTTACCTACCTCCACTTCAGATGCAGACATGTACACAGCCAGTGTAACCAAAGACAACACCAGTATGATGTATGGGAAGGCATAATCTAAAGGCAAAAATCAAACACATTAGCAGGAGAAAGAACACCCAATACACATTTCAGCAGAGGTAGTTTTTCCACATAAAAACCATGGGTGTGAAATAAACTAAGCTACTGTAGCCCACCTCTTATCATCCCATCAAACACACACAGTGGTAAGGCTCAGCCTAGCACAATTATTCAACACTTCAGTCTTAGGTTTTCAAACTTTTTCTGTTATTTCAAGGTGGAATTACTGTACATTTAAATCACTAACTGAAAAGGGCAGATGAGAAAAGCAACCACGCTGAGCAGGGATTTTGTAGCACCCGTCCCCTTCATGTGACAAGTTTGCAAGAAGCAAACATAAAAATAGCAGGTTATCTCCAAACTTAACTTTGATTCACCTCTGAAATCAGACAAAATCTACCTTAGCAGAAAGTGGAATGAGCTCCCTCTGATGTAATTTTCTCTCACACCCCTTCTATTCCCTTCTTGAGAAAGGCACAGTCTCTAACGGCACCAGCAGAGACAAAGCAGTGCTGGTCAGGAGCCTGGTTAGGACAGGGCTACTGATGAGCAACTTTTCCAGGCAAAACTCCTCACAATAACCTTAAAAAACACCCTTATATTTGAAGCAAAAAGAGTGTCATGTCCCTCCCTCTCATAAGTCACCTGTTAGTGTGTGTTTAAAGGTATGTTAGTGTTATTAAGAGAGAACTCACAAAGCAGGCCTCCTCCAACAGCCTGAAGCACAGTGAGGATAGGGAAGAAGTACAGTGCTGCATAGATGCTTTTAAATCGATCAGCCTTTCCTAACCCACAGGCAATTTTCTTAACCAGAAGAGGCCGAAGTAGCATCATTAACACAAGACAGAAAGCGTAATATATAAACACAATGGTGTACCTAGGAGGAAAAAAAAATAAATAAGTAAATAAATTTAAAATGTTCAGCTCTATCCTGCAGACTCAACTCGGAATCAAGGAATTTCAGGATAGTCAGTGAGTCCAAAGAATTTATAATCAAAGGGTGTAAACACAGAATGATGCACTCACTTTTTCTAAGGGAAATGGTCAAGATGCAGCAAAGACAGAGGAAAAACACAACAGAGTCTTACGCTTCATAGCTAAACAGCCTGAACTACACTGCCTTCTTTGATGACTCAGAAAGTCACTAGGTGTTGCCAAGTCTTTCACACACAAACCAGCTCAATGCATGAAAGACTTCTGGGGATTGATACTCACTGGTCCCAGTTACACCTGAACACTTTTTGCCTCTTTGAGAAGAAGCACAAATAGAAACACACTTGTGTAAAAGAAACACAAAATAAAGGAGCACAAAAGCCTTTATGCTTACAGCGGATAAACTGCTTCGTGAGTGCAGTGCACTGTGGTGATGTAGTCGGGGCTTGGGTTGTAAAGCATTGTGTACCAGTCTGAAAGCTTCTTCACCTTGCAGGAGCGGATATGCACTGAGCCGACAGGGTCACTGACGAGCAGCGTAACAATTGCTGCAATGCTGCACTCGAACAAGGCTGTTACATGCTGCAACAGTGCGCGGGAACTGTGGAAGTAGAGAGAGAGATTTACTATCTTGCTAACACAACAGGAAACCTAAATGCTGACTGCAAAGTTGCTATGTAGTATAGAACCTTCTACAGAGTTAATACTCACTGTGATCAAAGTTAGGACAACTCTGATTGGATAAAAAGTATTTGAAGCTGACTGTGAAAACTCACAATCTCAGATGATTTAGCATGTAAAATATGACTGAACAGCATTCCAGCCTCTTAAATGAAAGCTTTCTGTAGCAAAAGCATCCTGTCAGGTGAGGAACAGCACCACTCAGCTGTTGTGGTTTCAAAGAAAGCAACACTGAGGATAAGACACCACACATCTCAAAAGGGGTAACATCATCATATATGATATCAGCAAACTTTCAAAGCTGCAAGTCCTTGTTAAAGATGGTATATATTCATATATTAAACTCTCCCAGTTTTCGGCATTTAGTATGCCTCAGAGTCGTTACTTCTTAAAAGTTCCAGTCTAGCACCTAATGGCTGCATGCAGCTATGGTTTTAAACCCCTTTTTCACAGAACTTCCCTGATGCACCATGCTGATGTAAAAGTTACACCAGCTACACTACCAGGACCAAAGCCCCGTATATATACTCCTACAGAGGAAACTCAAACCCATTCTCTCAATGTGTACAGCACTGCTGATCAGGGCCCCTGCAGGTGGTAGGTCTGGCCCAGGAGAGAGGAGTTCACACATTGCGCCACTCCTGCTCACTACTGCGAAACCCAGTCCAGGCCAAACTGACAGACGGACTGAGTACCACCACACTGAAGAGATAAAGACTATGCCCCGAGGGTGCTGACTGGTAAGAAGGACCCATGGGACCCTTATACTTGTAAATAACCCCCAGTCCAGATGCCCAAAGCTTATGTGCTACCATATCAGCTCAACCAAGAGCATGAACTGCTGGACAGTTCAATTCAGCATCTCCAATCAATCATTTGTGGATACAAGATGTCCATTTTTAAATAACTCATCTGAAGAAGGGGTAAACCAACCTTTTTTTTCCTGAATACCATTCAATAAAGAACCAGTGTAAAACCAGGGGGAGCATGGCCATGAAGCCAAGGTACAACCAGTCGTAGCGGTCTGGAGATCCCATACATTCCCGGCAGATTTTGTTGTCATCAGTTCTTTGACCTCTAGGGCATACCTACAAAAAGCAGAGACTGTTTACACAGCATCCGAGTACCAATAATGAATCACTGCAGTTCGTGGAAAAACAGCTTGAATTAGGGCTGGGACAAGATACATACAGACTTCTAAAGAGATAAAATGTTACACTTAGCAATTTCTCAGGTTACACTGGCCTCACCCTCTGTGCCTCTTCCTTCTCAAAATAAAGAAAGACGAAGCATGTTTAACACGCTTCATCCAAGTCTCCATTTCTCTCTCCTACTGTCACACCATCTCCCTTCCACCGCTAAGCTCATGCACCCACCAGGCCACTCACAACCACTGCCCACCTCCCCTCCACCTTCCTGCTCCCCTTTCATTGCACGCACCCCTGATCTTGCTCTCCCTCAGCACTGCAATAAATCAGCAGGCAGAATGACTTCAGCACAGCTCTCCGTTCCATTCCACCTCATTCTGTTCCAGTTTTCACAGCCCCTCGGCTCAGCTCTGGTTTAGCACCTCCCTTTAGGGAATGTCTCATTGAGCAGCTCCTGCTTTCAGTAAGGAAGCTCTGCCTGTCCTCTCCAGCCCTCACTTCCCCCTGGTCCCCAAGGCACTCGGGGCAGAGCTGTGGGCCGCGATGCTGCTCATAGCGGGATCCGCACCAGCCTCCCAGCACCAGCGGCTGGAGCGGTCCGGCCCGAGAAGCCACGGCCGGGGGTGGCCCGGGAGGGCGCGGGGCCGCCCCTGCTCGCCGGCCCTTAACCTCGCCCGCTCCGAACTTACCCCGCAGTCCCCGTAAGTCTCCACGGAGCCGTTGACCGACAGGACGGTCCTGCCGCAGTACAGCCCGAGGCAGGCGGGCTGGATGTCCACAGCTGCGGGGAGAGCGCAGCCCGCATTACCAAGGCGCCCCTACCTGGCCCGGAGCGCCTCACACCCCACGGCTCCCCCGCAGCCGAGAGGCACAGAGCGCCATCCGTGGCACGCTCCAGCCGACGACAACCCCGCCAGCGCCAGCGCCAGCGCCAGCCGCCAGCCGCCAGCCGCAGCCCCAGCCGCCAGCCGCCAGCGCCAGCCCCCAGCCCCAGCCGCCAGACCCCAGACCCCAGACCCCAGCCGCCAGCCGCCAGCGCCAGCGCCAGCCCCCAGCCGCCAGCCGCCAGTCCCCAGCCGCCAGTCCCCAGTCCCCAGTCCCCAGTCCCCAGTCCCCAGTCCCCAGTCCCCAGCCCCCAGCCCCCAGCCCGTCCTACCAGCACGGAACATCCCGGCAAAACATCAAACACCCCTCGCACACCACACAGCTACTTCCGCACTCGACACTTCCGCTTCCGAGGCGAGGACAAGCTCCACCCCTCGCAGCCGTGTGGGCGTGGTCAAGCGGGGGCGGGTGCTGCTCCGCCCTGGGGGCGTGGCCCGCCTGGTCCCCCCTCCCCGAAGGTGGTGGCGGTGGCGATGGCGGCGGCGGCGGAGAGTAGAGATGCCAGGACCGGTGGCGGTGAAGGACGGTGGCTGCCGCCGCACTCGCCCTCTGGCCTGGTGCTGCAGACTGTGGAGATGCACACGGGCGGCGAGCCGCTGCGCATCATCCCGCGGCTAGAGGCGGCAGAGGAGGCAGCGGCGGTGGGAGGACTATCGCTGCTGTCGCTGCGGAGGGAGGTGGCGGCCACACAGGACCACGTGCGGCGGGCGCTGATGCACGAGCCGCGGGGGCACGGCGGCATGTACGGGGCGGTGGTGGTGCGAGGAGCGGCTGCCGCTGCCGGCGCCCACCTGGCAGCCCTCTTCCTGCACGGCTCCGGCTACAGCGCTATGTGCGGCCACGCTGTCATGGCCCTTGGCCGCTTCGCCCTCGACTATGGGCTGGTGGTGGCGCCCAACTGCCCCGAGACTGCTGTCCACCTGCGCTGCCCCTGCGGGCCCGTCACTGCCTTTGTACCCTGGGATGGCCACCGCAGCGGCAACCCTGTCCGCTTCCACAGTGTGCCTGCCTTTGCTGTCACCACAGGTGGGAACTGGGCCTACTGCACTGGGCTGGGGGGGGGCTGTTGGTCTGGCTGAGGGGCATCAGGCAAATCCCTCCCCAGTTCTGACGTTCCTCAAAGGCCGTCAGGGACAGCACAAGGCGTCATGCGCTGCTCTCTGGCATGGGAGCATCCAAGTCCTTGTCTCTATGACCCCCTTGCATGTGACTGGGTTCCTCTACTCTGCATGCAAGCCGATGGCCCAGTACAGTTTCCTGTCTTCAGAGCTCTCTCTTTCTCTTCCCAGACTTGGCCGTCGATGTCCCCAGTTACGGGAAAGTGGTGGTCGACATTGGCTATGGTGGTACTTTCTATGCCTTCCTCAGTGCTGAGCAGCTGGGCCTTGATGTGTGCTCTTCAAAGACCAGAGACCTTGTCAATGCCGCGAGTGCAGTGACAGAAGCAGTGAAGAAACAGGTACGGTCCCCTTCCTCTGGTCTCTTGAGGAAGCTGTACTGCTGGCTGCCCAGCTGCAGCATGCATTGCTGAAGCTGTCCTTGCTGTTCCTAGTTCAAACTTCATCACCCTGAAAGCGAAGACCTGGCTTTTCTCTACGGCACCATACTGACCGATGGGAAAGATGCCTTTAGTGAGGAGCCCACCACCAACATCTGTGTGTTTGCAGATGAACAGGTACAGGAACGGGCTCTTCTCAGACACACAAGGCATCACCTTTATCCTTTCTTACATCCACTCCAGAGGACAGTTCTGCTGCTTCTTGCTTTGGGTAGTGACAATTGCTTCTGCAGCAGTTTTCCTCTGAAGAGCTGTCACTTAACAAATGTTGGTTTAGTTCCTGATGACAGAAATACTTTTGCACATCTTAGATTGGGGGCATTTTAAAAGGGTTCATGTCTGTGTTCCATAGGTAGGAATTTCCCAGGAGTTCAGGGGCTGAGGTGGGGTCCCAACATAGTGCATGTCCTTAAAGTCCTCATCTAGGGAACAGCTGCTGGGGATGAAGAAAGCAAGAGAGAAAAGAACGGGTGTAAACTTCTATCCTTGTCTTCAGTGAATAAGGCATCACATAAATAGCAGAGGAAGCTGTGATTGGACTGCTTAGCAGTGAGGAGTGTGGATGGAGCATTGGGACAGATCACTTCGGAAGCTGGCCAATATTGGGGGTTTTGGAGGTTTTAAAATCCAGGCTGGCCAGCTGTGCTCTTAGTGTAAGGAGAACTGATCCTGCCTCGATGTGTAAGAATGGGATGATGCTGGGATGCTTTCAGGTGCTCCCTAAGTAGCCTCAATATTTACTAGATCATTCATCCCTATAAGTTTGACAAAGCTGATCACAACTCGGACATTACCCCAAACCTGTTTATTTTGTCCTTTCCTTTGTGATGTATCTGAATTCTATACAAAACCTTAAGATAGAGGGGTCTCCCCCAAGTGCAGTATAAAGGTGGCCAAGAAAACTGAGGGGAGTGATACTGTTTTCTGTTAAACCCCAAAACAGTAGAGCTGGTTCACCTTTTCTTCTGAATGTAGGTTGACCGAAGTCCAACAGGATCAGGTGTGACAGCTCGCATCGCCTTGCAGTACCATAAGGGACTCATCCAGCTTAATCAGACCAGAACCTTTCGGAGCAGCACCACAGGATCCTTGTTCACAGGGAAGGCAGTGAAGGCAAGTGGCTTGTGCTGGACTTTCCCTCTGTCTGGAGGACTGTTGGAAAAGTGCTGTGGCCTTGGCTCAGTGGAGAAGCAGAGAAGCCTTTCTGTGCCTGGGGAAGGGCATATGGAAGGAAGGAGGTGCCTGGGGGGTTTGTCTTACTGCTAAAATCTTTCAAGATTTTAGTTATAGAAGCAAGGAACAGTAAGACTCTGTTCTGTTGCATGGCTTCCCTCAAGTCCTCTCTTGGCTATCAGGAAAGGACTGGGGTGAGAAGTGCTTATGCAGATAAATTAGCCTGGTCCATTCTCAGTGGCAGCTAAGTTGTATTCCTGATTTAGTCCCCTCTTCCCTGCTCAAAGGCTGACTGTGTTGTTCAGAGATGTAACAGCTGGGTCTGTGCATCCGGGTTTCCAGGCCCAGCCTTGGCCCTGTGACATCTGGCAACCTGTAGCCATGAAGGTATGAACATGTCACAGGGAGGTGTCTTTAGGTGCAAGTGGCCACTGGCTTGTTGGCCTTCTGTGGCAGCGCCATGGCTCACGAGCTCAGACCAGCGGCAGCAGCAGCTGTGTAGGTGTGGAGCTCATGCAGGCAAGGTGAGGTGGTGAAAGAGCTGCTACACACTTTGGGATATACCTGGGCAGGGCAGCGTGCTCACTGAGGGGTATATGCGCAAGTGCCAGGTAGTGCTGGTGTTTCATGGGCTTGGGAGAGTGGAGAACCCCCCCATCACCTGTCCTGATCCCAATCCCTCTGCAGGAAGCCAAGTTGGGTGACTACAATGCTGTTGTTGTGGAAGTCTCAGGAGAAGCCTTTTACATCGGTACGACCACCTTCACTGTGGAAGAGGAGGACCCATTGAAATACGGCTTCTTCTTCAAGTGACCCAAGCCACGGCATGGTGGCAAAGTCTCACTGATGGTTCTGCACTTATCCTGCCCATGCATTTCTGTTCCACTTCTCCACACGGCTCACTGCAATATGCCAGAGCAACAGGAATAGCCCTTGGTGGTGTGACAGCATCTGCTATGTTTCAAGCTAACAGGCCATGTTCCCCTGTTGTGATTAGCATATTGGGTGCAGTGTGATTAGCATATATGGGCTGCTCTGAGAATCCATCATATTTTTTTTCTCAATAATTATTTGCAGAAAATGTAGCTGATCTTGGAGATCTGTCTTCCAATTTATGTGCCTTCTCTATGTCTGTAAATTACTAATTTCAAAGCCAGATTCCTATTAAATGACAGCTGAAAATACTGCCTTTCTCCTCTTGTTTTCACTCCCAGAACTCATTTCCAGGGCTCTGCCGAGTCTGTCGCAGCTGTTGATTTGAATTGCCTATTCTCCCTCACGCCTCAGCTCAGCTGCCCATGCTGCTGTGACTCATGCCCCAGCTTCCCCGGTCTGCCCACCTCAGGCTGTCCAAACACCTCACTGCACTCGATTTACCCCTGCTAGAACCCTCCTACATCTGAGGTATTTCCTCAGAGCCTTCTACAGTCCCTGCTGTGGCTTCCCTAAACCTTCCTCTCTCGCTTATCCCAGACCATTGGCTGCAAATACTCTGCGGCTTACTTTTAACAGGAGCAGCTGTATTCAAAGGTCTGACCCATTATGACCCTTGATTGCTAATTATTTACTGATGATTTTGTGTCAGCCCTGTGGGGTAGCTTGTACAGCAGTGTGCAGTCCATACTTGCTTTGCTAGTTTCTGGAGGGAGGATTGACGGTGGAAAGACCAAAGCAAGCCCTGGGCTGTAGGCAAGCATTTGCAGTGGCGGAAGCAGAGCTTCAGAGCACTTGTGGCCTGTAATTTCCACTGTGTCTCTGGACAAAACGCTGTTTGTTTGTTGAAGACACTCATGGGAGTGTTCTTTGTTAAAATGAGACATGAAAATGAGAATTATCGTCTCCTAGTAGCTCATGCAGCAGAAGGAAGCAAGTCATACTGGAGAGCTTGGAAAAGGCTGGCATGGAAAAACCTGGGATTGATTTCTTCTGTCAACGTGGAAAATTATAACTTTGCCTGTGCTGCCAACAGAGGGGTTTTAGGCTGGAAACTAGAACTCTTGCTTCAGCTTTCTAGTAACCCCCTGGTAAGTCACTTACAGGCTTTGGTCCCAGGAGCAAGAATTGACAGACACATCCTTTGTGCTTGCAGGAGTGAACTCCTCTGTGTGTTTTTAGCTACTGGGCATCTCCCCTGCAATCAGGCCCCCGGCCTGGATCCCGGGGAAGAGATGGGGCAGCAAGTCCTGAAGCCCAGCATAGGAAGGTTGGAAGCTCTTCAGGTATTAGAACAGGCTGTCCAGGGAAGTGGTGGAATCACCATCCCTGGAAGTGTTCAAAAACCATGTTGATGTGGCTCTTAGTTACATGGCTTAGTGGTGAACTTGGCAGTCCTGGGGTAAAGGTTGGACTTGATGATCTTAAAGGTCTTTTCCAACCTAGCTGATTCTGTGAATCTGTGATGAATTGGGTCACTTCCCTCATTATATATTCATGGTGATACCACTAAGAAGTTTTCCCTGTAGGGGCAGCAACTCCAGCGTGGCTGAGGGTGGTGGGACAGGGTCCTGCTGCCAGTGTGAGAGTCCCTGTCCTGACCCCTCAACCCCTCAGCTTGTGACACGCCAACCTGGAGAGCAGAGCCGGCCTCCGCCAGAGTGTCTGCGGGTAGCTGATCC